GATGGATGCTGACCATCCGTTGCATTTTGAAATTGTTGACCGTGTGCGTCCTGCTCCGTGGTGCCCTTCTACCATCTGGATTCGTCGGGCTAAGTGTTTTATTGTGGGTGTGCCGGAGTTAATGCCCGATCCTCGTACGCTCAATAGTGACCATGTTTCGGAGGACATTATGTTACTTTGGGAAGCGTACTGTATTCGCTTCCCGGCGGAAGAGTGGCCGGACAAGTATGAGATCTTTTCGTAGTCTGTGTGCTTGCTGTGTGTTTTATTTTTCTTTTGTTTTCTTGTGTTTTTGATGTTGGCCCTTCAGGCCGGTGTTTAGTGACTTGTGTTTTTGCCTGCTTTTTTATTGTCATTGGCCTCGCCTTTTGTTACGGGGCGTTAATGTATTGATTTTCTGTTGCTTTACCTGTTGCCTCTTGTTGTATGTTTTGTTTTTTGGAGGTGTTGTTTTGTACTGTGATTGCTGGATTGCCATTGTATTCTGTTTTATGTTTTGATGTATGCTGTATTTTTCATGTTTTTCTTGTGTATGTGTTTTGTTGTGCTATGCTGTTTTGTTGTGATCGGCTGTCGGCCCTTCTGGCCGGTGGTCTATTGTTTTCCTTTATGTATTCTGTATTTTTAGTGTATTTAATTTGCATGCTCTGCATGTAAAAATAAAAATAAAAAAAAAAAATGTGCGAAGAGACATGGGAGATTTTACATCAGCACAGTAAATGTTTTAAGTAGCGAACGCATATTAACGAATAACGATTAGTATAGACCAACACTATTGTTCTATGAAGTCGATTTAACTTTCAGACATGTATTTTTCAATAAGTCTTAAATATTTTCTGGCTAGTTATGTTAGATATTATTAGAAATACGTATTCTACTTGTTAATATAATAAACTAAATTTGCGATCATTTAAGGAGAGAAGTGCGACGACTGGATCACTGTGTACAGAAGATTGATATGCCAACAAACACTTTCCAGACAACAATATATCTTGGATAAGTCGCTCCACAACATTGACACCTGGACCGTTGACTTCCTATGAGGCCACATATTTACTTATTTCATAATGGAAGTATATTATTTTATAGTAAATATATGTTTTCTCGTGTTCTGCATTAAGCACCAACATTATAGTGAATAAATATACCATATTTCTTCATTATTTAAGTAATGCTAGGAGGCTTTGAGTAGCTTTGGGTCATTAGGTGAACAGAATCTCCAATAGATGGGGCGAGAGTCGCGCTATCTCTCGCCCGAGCAAGAGTCGAAACTTATTTTAGAATTGATATATCTTTGTCCTCCAACAAGATATATTTCCTTTGGTGCACTCACAATAACGAGCATATCTCTGTCTTTTTGAAGGCATATAATATTTTAGGCTTTATAAGCGTATCCTTTGTTAATTACACACTATATTGGCAAGTGCGTAGGCTTCTGCATTCCATGACCGACAAGCTACTGAATGCCACTATAAAAACGTATGTATCTTCACTTGAGTTTTATATATGTCTATGTTAAAGTATTTAAAATGAAGCTTATATTTCTATCTTTCTTGAGACATATAAAACATGTGTGTTTATTAATGAATTTACGTGAAATAAGCATTGTTCTGAGAGAGTTGCTCTGTCGATCAGTCTGTGCGGGGTCGGAGCTCGGCGATTATTAAAACACATGTATCTTCATTAGAACTTTATATATATCTATGGTAAAGTATTTAAAATGAAGCTTATATTTCTATCTTTCTCAACACATATAAAAACATTTACGTTTATTAACGAATTTACGTGAAATAAGCATTGTTCTGAGAGAGAGTTACTCCGTTGCTCGATCTGTGCGGGATCGGAGCTCGCCGATTAGAAAAATACACGTATCTTCGCTTTAAATACAAATATGCCCATGGTAAGGCATTTAAAATGAAGATTATGTTTCTATCTTTCTTGAGACGTATAAAAATCTTACGTTTATTAACGATTCTGCGTGAAATAAGCATTGTTCTGAGATGAATATTGCGGATTTCCGGCTCTACGACCGATGAAAAATGCAACTTTTATACAACTACAAATATCTTTAGTTTTACTTTAAATTTTGTCCTGAAAGAGTTTTCATATATAGATCCAGTTTCTGCCGTTCTTCTGACATAAAAAGACCTTTGGTTTAATAAGTTATTAAGATGTTTTCAACAATATTACTAGGGCGTTCATCGATTCTAACATGGGCGACCCTTTTGGAAACGCAACACATGGGTTGACCTGATTGATATATGGGTCAGATTCCATTAAGGTTCGGAACATACTCATCTAGTTGTGCTTATGGGGGTTGAGCTTTGGCTCTTTGGTCCCGCCTTGTTATTTTTTATTTATTTTTATATACAAGAATTCTTACATTCTTGTACAATCTACTGTACCTGGCAGTGCTGCCCAGTGGCAGCACGCATAACGTTTCGGGAAAGTCCTTAATCCTAATATTCCTCGGAATACGACCCCGCCAAATTTTGTAACAACCAGGTACCCCCATTTTACTGTTGGATAAACAGAGGCTACAGTTAAGGATTTGCGCTCAGTAAATCCTCCTCGGCCAGGATACGAACCCAGGCCAACGCGCTAGCGAAATACCAGGCGAGTGTCTTACCACTACGCCACGGGGACTATAAACTGGGCTCTCAACTGCCAATCAACTGGTTTACGAATTCTTGAGCCTGCTGGGCTCAATCATACAGTATCTACATTTGAAACTGTGTATGGAATTTGTCTCCACCACATCACTGCCTAATGCATTCCATCTGTTAACTACTGATACAGTGCAGTAGGTTTCCACACTGCAGTCTACATATCATATCATATGCAGCCTTCATATCAATTCCCATGCCACTATCTACTAACAGTTTAAACCCAAACAAACCCCCCTCTATCCACAGGTTCCAACGAGTTGGCAACAGCAACCACCCCAGCCCTAGACAAATGCACCCTTATCCCAAGCATACATGTTATTTCTTCTATAAATGTGTTCCCAGTTATCAATAAATGATATTGCATTTGATTTCCAATGTGTCCTGCCGGCAATTGACACAAAGTGCCCTCAACAACCATTCATTTCCAACTCCCTTTCTTGGAAGAATGCCACATATGATCGGGATTTCTCCCTTATTTCTAACTAATTCTATGGCTGTCTTAATTCTCTGTATCAGTGCCTTACTCCTAACTCATCCTACATCATTTCCACCTGTACTGATTCAAATAATGGGTTTGTTCCCATTTCCAGCCATAATATCATTCATGTTGTTTACTATACAGTATCACCAATCCCTGCTCCTGGATAGAAAACCCTTAACCTGTTCCCCCTATCTCTGACACAAATAGCTCTATCAAAATACCTCACCTGGGAATCTCCCACAATGAAAATTTATCTACTTCCTTTACTTTGTGAGCAGCTTGAGGGACCGGCGCTCCCTTCATTGCCTTGCCTGTCGAGCAAACTGCAGGCTTCCTACAGCATTCGTTTTCCAGCACGGCGAATGAGTTGAAGGTTTTTAGGACATGTTAGGACATCAGTAGGCAGCCTTGCCAGTTGTGTTAAGCCCCCTGTCCTTTGCAACATTCCAAGGCGAGGTCTTTTTAATACTGGTCCCCTCCTTTGTTTCTTCTTGACGTTTCACCTGTCATAGCTCCTCCCATAGGGAATCCAATGGAGATTGAAGGAACCTACTCTCAAAAGTGATCTTCACTACACAAAGAGGCCGAGGACAATGACCACAAAGGAGGTGAACAAACGTATCACTCTGGAGGACAGAATGGCCTTGCGCCTCAAGGATATGTTTAATATCCTCGTGGCAGTCTTTCAGTACCCTATCACCAGTTGCAACATGGTGCGGGAGGATAACTGTACCAATGCTGGCATTTAACTCTGCATTTTTGGAGATCCAAACAGGGGTGGTCTCACCAATGCAGGACAATGGGGTTAAGCAGTTAGCCACTTTCTGAGGAGGGGCTGCAACAACAAGTATGGGTGGGGTTAAAAATGATAAAGGTATCCACTGAATAAACTAGGTGTTTATAGATGAATAAATCATCAGGACATGTAAAATCAACATCATTGAGATCAAAATACTTAGTCCATATAGCAGGACCACACAAAGCTTGGAATATATTAGACCCAGAAGGAATCATGCACATGCGACTGCGATGACGGGGCCAAGCACCCCCCAGTAAGAGAGAGGAAGGGGGGGGGGGGGGTAAAAGGCACAGTTGTTACAATGAGAGATGGAGCCACTCCAGGTGATGAGGTGGTCACCACTGGGGGCTTGGGGCTCAACCCTGCCACAGAGGTGGGAGGGGAGCAGAGAGAGGCAGTCGGGAGAGTCGGAGAAGCTGCTTGGTCTGGGCCCAATGTAGCGGGGGTTACATAGCTCAGCCTTTCATCACAGTCCGACTTGATGGGCTGGTCGCCCACCCCACGAGTCTGAAGTTAAAAGAGGGTCAGATATTGGTATATAAACGAACAAGTAAAAATTTCATCCACAAATAAGCCCCCAGACCCACCATGGAGCCACAATTAGAGGATAGGACACCCGAAAAGACGGGCCCTCCCCAGGGGTGCATTGTGGATATACACCCTGCAATTGCCACCTTAAGAACTGTTAGTCCATTGAGATCGGGTTCAGCAACGAAGGCAAAGATTGACAATAAAAGCGTCACCTTGCTCGACAACGTCAGGTACCAGTTTTACGGGCGAGTGCGCGCCTCCCCAAACACCCGGCATCAAAACAGAAGACATCTGAAAGAATAATCAAGAATGGCAAAAAGTCGGTGGGAAATGAAAAATGAAACATAAGACGAAAAAGCATCCAGTACAATTTGTGAAGTCAGCAGCAGGAGCATAAGGCATCAAAAGGACAAAGGACAAGCTGTCCCATAGAGCATTACACTCCGGCAGCCGCTCACCAAGCACCCCTCACGATGGCAACAGGCTGGAAAGGGAGGGGGACAGGCAAGTAAAAAAATTCTTCATATTTACCTAAAACATTTATTATACAAATTTGTGCAAATTGGTACATTTACTTGGACCATTTTATTGATAATTTTTTCATGTATTAATAACTATCATCAGTCAGTACTTAAATTATTAAAATTTTGAACAACATAAAACAACAAAATATCTCCATTAACCTGTTTCAGGAAAATTTAATTTTCGGGATGAGGTTTCATCGCATGAATCCCTGCTCCCTCTAATTTTGTAACTTACAATACTACTCTAAATACTACTCTAAGTTAATTTACAAAAAAGTACAGTTGTTTCCCCAAAAGGAAGGCACGTGTATTCTTACATTCTACATAAGATGACCACTTTCCCTAAAAGGAAGAGAGATAAAAGGAATGTACAGTTGCAATGTGGTCCTTTGTAATATATAGCTTTGCTTACACTCAGATACATCAAATCTGACAGCTTAAAAACTAATCTGACAAATATTGACATTTATACATTACAAAAATAGAAGAGTTTCTCTTACACCAAAGGTCAAACACATTTTAAATAAATCTATTTTTTTTCCAAATTTTTAAATAAGTCATACTTGGTCAGAGGCATGTTGAAGTTGCTGTGCTTCCTGGGTATCGGTATCCTAAACTAGTTTAAATTTCTACATGCATTTTATTAATAAATCACAATGTAACAAATATTTAGAAGGCACATTTCCGGCATTTAATACAGCACACGATACCTTGCCAGCTTGGTCCAGGGGCCCAAATCATCTTTAACAAGTTTAAACATGCAATTTAGATTCTTACATCTTTTGAAGTTTATATTTTCTGGAACAGCGTTAATAAAACACTCGTAAAGTATAACAATGCTTTACACCAAACATTGTCAATAGGTCCTTATCCAACATTTAATTTACCAGAATCATCCATATATGTTTAAACTAGAATTAAAGCATAAATTGTGCACTTCTTCAGTGTACCTAACTACTAATGCTGGTGATAAAGTACATTTAAATATTCCTAATAACTATATTTTTTAAATCACATTTATCTACAACTTGTAAAAATGGTTGCATAATAACTTCTTAACTGGGGGCATTTGTGAAAGACAAAGTTTATGAAAGCATCCATCTTGTCAATAAAATACTTGTACATGGCATCATTCAAACCAAAGTTTATGCATTTATCTGTTCCTATAATGAAACATTTACCCAAGATCACAATTTATATATTTTGTATAAATGCCGTTCCTCATTTTTAAAATAAGAAAACGGCGGCTATATTTTATGCTTGGTCCAGGACAGCAACACATTCCTTCAGGCCCAACACTTCCAGGCACTCTCGCAATTTCTCCATGGTCACAGTCTGCGAGGGATAAACTTGTGTAAACTACAAGGACATTACATTACAATCATACATCATGATAAGAGGTATAGGAGTTTGTGCGAAAAGTGGTGGAGGTGGTGTGATTGTTGGAGTATAACTGGGTGGGTAGCTATTTCTTTAATGGTGTGTGTGTGTGTGTGTGTGTGTACTCACCTAGTAGTGCTTCCAAGGGTTGAGCTCTATCATATCTACATTTGAAACTGTATATGGAGTCAGCCTCCACCATATCACTGACTAATACATTCCATCTGTTAACTACTCTGACACTGAAAAAGTTCTTTCTAACATCCCTGTGCCTCATTTGGGTACTCACTTTTCACTTGTATCCCCTTGTTCGCGTACCCCCTGTGTTAAACAATTTGTCTTTATCTACCCTGTCGATTCCTCTTAGAATTTTTTAGGTAGTGATCATGTTTCCTCGAGCCTTCCAGTGTGTTTATTTAACTGTAATTACAGGATGAAAGTTATACTAGTGGTATCCCATCTACTCTATAATCTTTAACATATAACATTTTTAAAGCTCCTGAAGGTTTTGGCACTTTATTTAAATTATTCCAACCATCCACAACTCTGTTCACTAAAGAACTTTTGAACAGTTCTCTTTGGCATCATTGTTGATTTCGGTCACTATTTTGTATTGATCATATTGCCTCATTTCCGTCTGTCTACTAGCTTTGGCATATTAAATGCCTTCCTCCTAGATGCAATGCACCAGTAATATTCATTAACACGAACACCTCACATTACTTAAAACTACATTGGGTTTCATAGCAATTTTAGGTGTAATTACCTAAGTGTAATTACCTAAGTGTAGTTACAGGATGAGAGCTACGCTCGTGGTGTCCCGTCTTCCCAGCACTCTTTGTCATATAACGCTTTGAAACTACTGACGGTCTTGGCCTCCACCACCTTCTCACTTAACTTGTTCCAACCGTCTACCACTCTATTTGCGAAGGTGAATTTTCTTATATTTCTTCGGCATCTGTGTTTAGCTAGTTTAAATCTATGGCCTCTTGTTCTTGAAGTTCCAGGTCTCAGGAAGTCTTCCCTGTCGATTTTATCAATTCCTGTTACTATTTTGTACGTAGTGATCATATCACCTCTTTTTCTTCTGTCTTCTAGTTTTGGCATATTTAATGCTTCTAACCTCTCCTCGTAGCTCTTGCCCTTCAGTTCTGGGAGCCACTTAGTAGCATGTCTTTGCACCTTTTCCAGTTTGTTGATGTGCTTCTTAAGATATGGGCACCACACAACAGCTGCATATTCTAGCTTTGGCCTAACAAAAGTCATGAACAATTTCTTTAGTATATCGCCATCCATGTATTTAAATGCAATTCTGAAGTTAGAAAGCATTGCATAGGCTCCTTGCACAATATTCTTAATGTGGTCCTCAGGTGATAGTTTTCTATCTAGAACCACTCCTAGATCTCTTTCTTTATCAGAATTCTTTAAAGATTTCTCACATAATATATAGGTTGTGTGGGGTCTATGTTCTCCTATTCCACATTCCATAACATGGCATTTATTAACATTAAATTCCATTTGCCAAGTGGTGCTCCATATACTTATTTTGTCCAGGTCTTCTTGAAGGGCATGACAATCATCTAAATTTCTTATCCTTCCTATTATCTTAGCATCATCAGCAAACATGTTCATATAATTCTGTATACCAACTGGTAGATCATTTATGTACACAATAAACATCACTGGTGCAAGAACTGAACCCTGTGGTACTCCACTTGTGACATTTCTCCATTCCGATACATTGCCTCTGATTACTGCCCTCATTTTTCTATCAGTCAGAAAATTTTTCATCCATGATAGAAGCTTACCTGTCACCCCTCCAATATTTTCCAGTTTCCAGAACAACCTCTTATGTGGAACTCTGTCGAAAGCCTTTTTTAGGTCCAGATAGATGCAGTCAACCCAGCCATCTCTTTCCTGTAATATCTCTGTGGCCCGATCATAGAAACTGAGTAAATTCGATACACAGGATCTTCCTGATCGAAAACCATACTGTCTGTCTGATATTATATCATTTCTCTCCAGGTGTTCTACCCATTTAGTTTTGATTAGCTTTTCCAATACTTTCACTATTACACTTGTCAATGATACAGGTCTATAATTGAGGGGGTCTTCCCTGCTGCCACTTTTGTAGATTGGAACTATGTTAGCCTGTTTCCACACGTCTGCTACGATTCCTGTACACAGGGATGCCTGAAAGATCAGGTGAAGTGGAATGCTGAGCTCAGATGCACATTCTCTCAGAACCCATGGTGAAACGCCATCTGGGCCAGCTGCTTTGTTCCTCCCGAGCTCCTTTAGCATATTTTCCACTTCATCTCTAGACACCTCTATCCGCTCTATGTTGTTCTCTGGAATTCTTATTGTGTCTGGTTCTCTGAAGATTTCATTTTGTACAAACACACTTTGGAACTTTTCATTTAATGTTTCACACATTTCCTTTTCATTTTCCGTGAATCTGTTTCCCATTTCCAACCTCTGGATATTATCCTTTACCTGCAATTTGTTGTTTATGAATTTGTAGAATAGGCCCGGTTCTGTTTTACATTTATCTGCTATCCCTTTTTCAAAATTTCTTTCTGCCTCTCTCCTTACTGCTGTATAATTGTTTCTCGCATCTTTGTATCGCTGGTATGTTTGGGGGTTTGGCCTCTTCCTATACTGATTCCATTTTTGTGTCTTTTGGTCTCTTGCCCTCTCACAATTTCTGTCGAACCAATCCTGTTTTCTGGTCCTGCATCTCTGTTTTGGTATAAATTTTTTTGTGCCTTTATCATATATTTCACAAAACTTGCCATACATCTCATTCACTTCCTTGCCTAGCATCAAGTCTGTCCAATTATACTCACTAAAAAAATTTATAAGGTCACCATAATGTCCTCTCCTGAAGTCTGGTTTTTCAACTGCTTCAACCTCCTTATTTTCTTCCAGCTTATAACGCATTGCATACTTTATTCCCAAAAAGACATGGTCACTTTTACCCAAGGGAGGAAGGTACTGAATGTCAAATATCTCTTCCTCCTTCCTGGTAAATATCAAATCTAGCATGGAGGGAATGGAGGGTGTGGGAGTGGATGAGAGTAATTGCATGACAGTGGGGTGTATGCGTGTAGTGAGCCAAATTGTTGATTTCTTCGCTAGACAAGTGTCCATGCCATGAGTATTATGTAATAGTGTGCACAATTGAAGTTGGTGATCACGAAATAGAAACCATGGCAAAAATGCGGGTTACACATGGGTCAACTATGTATTATACTGTATATGAGACGTTAAAACAGTATAGCAGAATAGTAACAAAAATTTTAATATAGTTTAAACAAAATATGGGTAATACAATTTTCTAAAAAATATTACCAAAACGTTTAACACTTTCGCCCAGGTTCGACGCAGATGTCATCAAAAAATTATTAGACGAATGTGCGGGAATGACGCATCGGTGCGTCAAAAATGGAAAAAGTTCGGCCTGCTTTCGGCTTGGCTGCGGGTGGGGCGCACCACGGTTTTGGACATAATATGCATATATTCCTATAGGGAATTCTATTGCCAACACATTGATACCAAAATGAAAGACCTAGGACGAGAATTGAGGTGACAACATTGAAAAAAAAAAAAAAAAAAGTGTGAAAACCAAAATTGAAAACCGCGCACTCCCGTGGAATGCCCGACCCACCTTGTGGGGTGGTCTCTGGTGCTCGCTTGCCCAAAGTGCGAAAGTATTAACAATATCACATACCCTACTCTGCATACAAATTCTTATTTCTAGGAAAGCTTCTAACTAGGTAAGTAACTTCAGCAAAAGAAACATATATATATATAGTGACTAGTGCATGTGGGGCAAAGTTAAATAAGTGAAAATGGCCACTTGAGGTACTAAAACAATGTACTATGAAAAGATGAGGGACAACTTAATTTTGCTCAGAAATCACTAACAAAAGTAAAAATGCTATGACAATTACACTATAAATATTATAAATAACTATTAAAGAAAATTGCCAGAAGAGCATGCAATCTACAGTACTCAAGTCCCTCATTTTCATACCTATCATGAGAATACTTGACAATTCCTGGCCAGGCATTTACAGCGATGATTATAATCGGGCTCCCGCGGGTAGGTATTGCCAAGGCTAACCTTCATGTTATCAGGATGTAGAAGTAACTCTGCCGGCGAAGGTTCCTTGGCCCAGCAGTGAACCATGTAGTCTAAGTCCAAGAGCTGGGCTAGGTGTCGCCACGTGTCTCCACTGAGATGGCTGGCGAGGCGTCCACGCACACGTTCACTCAGCTTCCCCACACTACTCACGACCAAACATGCAAAAAGACAGAAAAATTAAGAAAACTATTTAAAATTAGTTAATCTGTTAAGCATAGCAGGCGTAGACCATAAAATATATATTAATAACTTCATTCATAGTTTGATATTGAATGTTAAATTAAATTGGTATTTTTTCCTTTCTTATTTCAAGATAATTTTTTTTCCATATAAATAAAAAATACAGAATTACGGACACTGAAATAAAACCCCACCTTTCTTCTCCCTCAGACGTATAGTCTGGTTCCTGGATATCTGTAACTGATATGTCAATGCCAGAGTCCAGAGCAGAGTGCACCGGGCCTTCCTTCTTCCCAGCAACAACTTCACCCTCAGCTACTGCGTTCTCTATAATGCCTTCACCCCGCAAGATAGCCAGAATCTAAAAAAATTATAATTTGATAAAAAAAGTGTGTAAAACCCCATAAGTCTTATATTAACAGTTATCATACAATAAGGAATAGCCCAAATTTGATAGGTGAATTATAACTGAATTTTTTGTAATAATGTACTAAAGTGAACTAGTAACAATTTATTTTACTGTTACTAGTTCACTAGTAACAATAGTGAACTATTGTACAAGAATGTAAAGAACTCTCTTTGAGAGGGTGGCACAGTGGTCACCCTCTCAAAAATAACTGGTTGTATCTTATTTGAAGTAGAGCACTGATTCATATGTACATTCTGTGGTTTAATTGTGATGTACATTATAAATTGGCTGGATCCAAAATAAGTAAAAGACACTGAGGAACAAGTGTCAAAACAATGTGACTTAAGAGAAATACTGCATAGAGGTGAAAACATACAACATTTAAATAATTATAGGATTTATAGTATACCAATAAATAGGAAAATACTATTAATTGTAAGGTCAATATAGGTATGAATGTTTTGAAAATAGAATACATTATTACAGTATGCAGTTCATACCGTAATGATGCAGTATGAACATATGCAAGGTACAGCATCATCACCGGAGAAGAGGCATCAATTTGTTGTTCAACACTAAGGAAAATGACTACTATTATGTTATATTCCCTATTATGACTAGGGAAAATCTGGTCTAACAATGAGAAGCTAATGCGGCCGGTGCAACAACCACCCTCATAACCTATCTAGATTTTCTCTGAGCATATATATATATTGCTACAAAAATTGAAGAATATACCATACCTGTTCATCTTCTCCGGCATAATCTACTGGAGTGTAGCCATCACATTCTTCTTCAGATTCTTCCTCCTCGTCCTCTTCCTCTTTCGTTTCCTCTTCCTCTTCAGATTCTGCCGTCTTTTTACCTTTGCTTAAAGCATTTTTGGTTTGTGGATCAGCCTGTAGAGAAAATGCCAAATTATGTATTATTGTCAAGACTAGAAATTTACATAGAAGATATTTGTGTTGTGTTTTAGTGTTTTGGTAATTATTAGAGTACATATTGATATTGAAGAAACAATGTGTTGTACAGAAAATCAGATATTTCTTAGTAAGCAGCATCATAAATCTTGCCAATGTGTCTGAGAAAATACCCCTACTGCAGTGTCCAACGACAAAATGAAGTGACATTCAAGAGGCATGTTTATATTTGCAAGTAACAACTCTCGGGAAACTTGTGATACACCTTCTTGGTCAACATCATATGGTGCTTTACGATGACAAGCTTGGTGAATCTACCAGTTCTTCAACTTTGTGTGTTACTCCTTTCCAAACTACCTCTCAAATATTAAACCTCTCTTTATCCTTTGTATTTTTCAATACACCTCATTAACCATCTTTTCTAATTGACAATGAAAATGAAAAAAGAAAGTTTTATGCGAATCAAAATAATCATATGAATTCATATTATAATGCGAATTACAGTAATGGAACACTAAACTGATCTCAGACTATTTTCCTTCACCACTGAAAATTTGTTGTAGCTGTAATGACAAACCAGTATGAAACATCTACTACTGATGCATGTGACAAATCCATGCCCTTTCAGACTTTACTTTTTGGCACTCAGGATTACAGCCATACAGATACTGATATTATATGGTACCTTATAGGATAAGCTAGAATGGCTATTAGGGCACATGTATCCCTTCACTGTTGGGATATTCATAAAAGGACTTGGGATTATATTATACATGTATTGTTTTATGATTATCCACCTAATGCTAGCTTAAACCAGACATCAAACACAACACTACATTCTCAATGGTAGCTTAATTTAAGTTTATATCTGCTAGATTATCAGATGAATATGAAAACTACTGCCTTGCTATATCCACTGCCAACCCGTTCTCGCAAATTCGTAAAGTCAATATTGACTTATTAAATAAGTGCATAGGTGACATACTAAACATAATAGATACCCTTAAAAAGCTTCATAGAAAACACCGACCTTACCTAACCTTGTTAGTATCTTAAGATAAGCATCTTATAGCTTCGTAATTACAATTGTTACTTAACCTATTATAGGTATAGGTTAAGTAATAATTGTAATTACGAAGCAATAAGATGCTTATCTTAAGATACTAACAAGGTTAGGTAAGGTCGGTGTTTTCTATGAAGCTTTTTAAGGGGTATCTATTATGTTTAGTATATCACCTATGCACGTAGTTAATAAGTCAATATTGACTATACGAATTTGCGAGAACGGGTTGCTGTAAAATACATTTAATTCATAAACTGGTGGATTGACTGTTGCATGGAATTATATTAAGGCTTTAGAATCAAGGATTTTGCTTTCAAACAAAACCACTCCTAACCACAGACTAACACCAACTATCTTATAACAAAACACTTAATAAATATAACATTCACACCCAGGGTTAGCTCTCAACTACACACACAAGCTATAACTCATCAAATAGTAACTAACAGCATCAAAAGCAAATGTTAGGATTTTGGATAAAAAAATATCTCATCCAAAAGGTTACTTAAAACACTGATACTGTACTGTATTAACGTACATGTGCCATAAGAAGAATTTTGCACATCTCCTGATCGCGTGCTTGAGCTGCTAAGTGTAGTGCTGTATTACCATCAAACATGCCTGCTTCAACTGTCACATTTGTCTGAAATGAAGAACAGTATAAATTATGTGTGTTTATATCACAAGTCAAACCTGGCCTCGGGCCGGGCTTGGGGAGTAGAAGAACTCCCAGAACCCCATCAACCAGGTATCAACCAGGTATATATGACCAAAATTGATAAAATTCTTGACTACTTTAGAGTAAATCAAGTATTAAACATTTGTATTTTATGCTGCATTATCCCCCGTCTACTGAATTTGCATGATGTCATTTCCTACCATGGTAAAGCGGGTACAAATGTATCAACATCTGCTTTTCTATCTAAACTTCATCTATCCAGAAAATAAGTTAGATCAATGGTAGCATTTTCCCACAAATAACCTGGCAACAGACACAAAGGTTTCTTGCTATGTCTTTATACCAAGTACAATACCACCATAGTAAAACTGTATATGGAATCATGCTGAAAGTCTGTACTTATGGTACCGTGTTCTAATCTTCACACAATTAAACATTACTTTTCCATTCAGAAGCTATTACTTTTAGCATCATGTTGGTGTGTACAATATTTTAATTTTCCTTAGGACAAAAATGTATCTTGGCTTCACAAGAAAAAGAAAAATCAGAATGAAATAACTTGGTCAAGACTAACTTGGCAAGATAGGACATCTTTTCCTTACCTAATAATTTTGGGTCAAATACTTTCCTAGTGCTTAAGTGTTTCTTGAACCATTCATAATACACACCTGCTTAAGTGAGAACAATTCTCATTACAGTACAGGTAATATTATTGCAAAATAGTGTTATAGTGCAATATTAATGGGCTTGAGCTTTCACCCATTTTTAAGGGGACAATTGTTCTTGGTTACCAATTAAGCAGTATTATTGATTCTTTAACCACATATACACATTCTTCTTGCTTCAGCAATCTTTAAGCTATTCACACAATCTTCCTTTTCATTGCAAGCTAGTAACAACTGCTTCACATATGAAACTGCAAAATTGGCAGGTGGAAGTCTTCTATGAATGGATTGAAAATTTTGCACTCTAGTAAACATACAAAAGTATGTATAAATTTTGACAAAAACGGCTAAAATATTGACAAACTTTATAGTGGACTGAAGATACTCACATTGTTTAACAAAAAGCGTGCAATCTCATGGTGGCCAAACATTACAGCCAGATGTAGGGGATTAGAGCCTCTCTTTCTTTCGCACAAGTGTACTTGACCCCCAACGCTTAATAGTAGCTTTACACAGTTCAGGTTCCCAGCAGTGACAGCAATATGTAAAGGAGTTGCACCTGAAATCCAGAACAATTTTAAGAACTACATTTTCAAGCAATTGCTGATAATAAAAGAGCCTGTGATATGAGAGAGATTAGTAAAAGCATAATTGTTTTACACAAAATAGGCATTAAATACCACATGTTACAAAGTGCTAGGCATGGCTCACTTATTGTGTTGGTGAAGGACTTGTGTATATTTTTATGTACTCTTTGGATTACATTCATGTATCTTTCAAATGTTCTGCAAAATCAATTTGAACACCAATACAGAAGTGTTGAAAGTACGGCATCAAAATTATTGACAAAGGTGTTTCCTAAATTCAACACAATTTTGAAAAAAGGTTTAAGAACAAGATGCATACTATCTTAGAAAATAGTTACCCAATAATAATACAATAGAAGGGAACGATTAAAACTACATCAAATGCCTTCAAAAAGTATTGATAATGTAAAGTAAAATATGATATTATAGTACTGTACAAACTTATTAAAAAGTGAGTATCACCACATGGGGTGCCATTATGAACAGACATCAACTCACCATGATAATTGTAAGCATTAACAGCCTGAGGCAGTGCTGAACGAGTGCCATTAACTGGCCTAGTCAAAAGTGCTTCAAGACACCTGTGGTCCTGTAATTCTGCCGCACAGTGGATCGGTGTGTTTCCCTGTGCATCAGCAATGCTCACATCACATCCCAAAGCAGCCACCAGTCTCCTCACCATTGTTACTTCATTGCCACGGACAGCTTGGTGTAGGGCAGTCTGAAATTGAGATTTTATGCATATAAGAAAGTGCAGCCTTCTCAAATTTACGCATCTGTATGAGAGTGAATTCATACACAGAGGGGCATCAATTTATATACCAGTACTGTATAACAATTTATTTTGTATGCTTTAATGCACATAAACAAAATCAACAACACTATGTTACAATACTAACAATAACAAATACAACTAGTGCCTTACTTCGCTTGCAAAATTTTGAGCATTTAATAGGTCATGTGGATTAATCTTCTCACTGGCTTTCAAGATCTTGTTAAAAGCTTCCATATTCTTGTTACTGACTGCAGTATGCAGAGCACTGGTGAAAAAAAAAAGTCATTAAAATATAGTATTTCAGTGCTCAGGTATACACCACATACAATGTACAATGTGGTGTGTGAAAAAGGCATATTACAATACAGTATATTAAATCATAAAACATATAGTTTTCTGCAATGGCATCTAGCACCTTCAACAGCCCAAGTTTAACATTCTGGAGAAAACTTACGTGTCACCTTGATTGTTCTGCACAGCAAGAAGATATCGATGAGTGGCTAGAAGTAAGGAAATGTCTCCAGTAGCTGCATATGCCTGTAAGCACTCTGCAGCACTAACAGCTACCCTGAATGCCACATCCACATTTGGTGTACTTTGCTGACCAGATACTTCTCTTTGCGAAGTGGGGTTTCTACTAGTGCGTGATGATGGGTCTTCAACACATACTTCAGACATCATTTTACTGAGTTCTTCTACATCTTGACTAGTACTAAGTGGTCTGTCTCTCTGCTTATTCTTCGAATCTGATGCTAAACAAAAATAAAAGATAAGGCGAATGAACCCGTATCACAAATGGCAAAGTGTAGTAACACAATATTATAGTTTACATGAAAAATATTTCAAATATGTCTACCAAATACTATGCATATCCCTTTTTTTATCTCTAGGGTGATGCCTTCTTACACAATGAAAAGTGACAAATGACAATAAATGTCGAACAATTTACCAATACATTTGTAAAATAAGTTTACATGTGCAAAATTTATGACTTCTCTTAAAATTTAAGGGACAAGTTTGCTAGAATAAGAGAAGGAGGGAACTTTGAAGAAAGTACTAATATTATGACAAGACAAAATTGAAAAAAATATATGCTGTACTAAAATTGATAAGTGTAATTTTTACACTTCACTCACTTTTTCTGCCTCCATAATCAGCCTTTATATCATTGTTGAAAACTGTGTTAAAATCGAGCTGACCTCCTGCAATGTCCAGCATATCCATTAGGGATGGCTCTTGGTCGATACCACCCAAGTTAAACATGCTTGGCAATTCAATTTCTGGGACCTGGAATAAATCAATTCTTGAGGTTATCTTGAGATGATTACGGGGCTTTAGTGTCCCCGCGGCCCGGTCCTCCACTCCCAGGTACCTATTTTACTGCTAGGTAACAGGGGCATAGGGTGAAAGAAACTCTGCCTATTGTTTCTCGCCGGCGCCCAGGATCGAACCCGGGACCACAGGATCACGTGTCCAGCGTGCTGTCCGCTCGGCCGACCGGCTCCCTTCAATTCAATGACTCATCGACACATATACATACAAAAGACAGATATAGATGATGTGATGATAAACCCAAAATTAGGCAATACAGTATATTAGTTTGTATACTATACACATATGCACATACATATTTATGTATATGTATATTTTGCCATCATTAAATTTGCTTGGCACAAAAGAGCACTAATTTATATTTCACAAGATTGATAGAACTGAATGAAATATACACACACAATAAATTAATACTAACTGGCAAACTATGCTGAGGCTGCAGTGGCATGCTGTGTTGTACAGTCACCCAACTCTCCCCAACACCTTGCATCTGCAAATCAACCAAAAAATGTTAATATAAGTATTACCTTCAAAACAATTTTTTTGTTTTGTTTTGTTAAGGAAGGACTCAGAAAGGACTTCTGACTCCTGTTAGCAAGCTTCAAGCATTCCCTGATCACAGCTCATCTTAAGCCTCACTCGACTAGTTTTCCCTTGAAATATAGTCTGCTAATTGCTTTACCAGGTCCCCAATTACTGCTGGGTGAACAGAGGTATACAGATCATTACTGGCACCTATTCGTCTCTTCTCAAGCAGGGCTCAAACCCAGACTCGTGTCACTCATGAAGTGTGCGGGGACGAGTGTGCTACTGCTACCCCACAGGCAGCTCTAATGACCGAGTACTGTATATACAATAGCAAATAGAACTTCTTACTTTTTACAATTGAATAAAGTAAGTAAGAGTGAGTGAATAAATATATATATATATTGTGACGATAATCTCCTTCAAGAGATTGAGCCTGCTCTTCCCTCCAAAATTACGTCTTCACAACTATATAAAAGACTATGGAAGAAATGTCCAACAACGACAACAGCACCAGCAAGGCTTGCAAGGGTGAGCAGAAACGTATGCAGCCCGCCACCTGTTCGGACCCAAATCACCAAACTACCCGTTGATCGCTACGGCTCCGCTGATTGGTCGCCGGTCTGGCTGCACCTGCACTCGCCCCCAATACTACCCGATGTCTGGGGTCGCCCCAACATCAGTCTTCAGAATGTTCCGTGCTTTCGTAGCCAGCACACCTCCCAGCTAGACTCTAGAGTGTACTGAGAGAGGTGGTGGCTTTAAGCCAATATTCCAGCACCTCCCACTTACTGTTGTATTGCACTTCTTGTTATTTTGCCTTAACGTAACTTTCATTGTGTCATTTAAGTATTCTTATTCTTTTGATTCATTGATTTTATTATAAGAATTTGTTTGTGCATTATTTTCATGTTTTGATTTATTTAACGTAATTAAAATTTCATTGTTAAAGTTTTACTTGTGTTTTGTGTGTCTTCTCCTTACCTTACCACAGACGAAGTTCCAGTTTTTCTATTTTTTTATAACTATGTGACGAGGCCATACCCCTAGCATTAAACAGCCAAACACCAACGCGTTACCGTCACAAGTTATATGGGGGCCTGTCCTAGGAGCCTCACTCAGGTACTGGTGCCAAGTGGTAATTTATGGTAAGCGTATTTAACTTTGTTAACGTAGCTTTACTATTTTTCATTCAATTTCATTTTTTATAAGGTGCGGTGTATTGTGCATTACGAGAGTAACATATAGTGAAGGTGAGACAACTTTGGATTACGTGGTGACTGTAGGCCGCAGTCATACTCTTAATTGGTCATCTCTCCCTCCTTGTTATTACTCGTATTTACCATCTATGTCCCTTGAATATTTCTCATTCTGACAGATCATCATATTGGTACCCTGGTACTGTGGTCTGCCCCGGGTCAAGAGTACCCAATCTTCTGCAATCTGACTGTAGGAGGACAAAGAGGGCCATAGTTCCTCTAGCTCGAACTTTAGTTGCTGAATTGGGACCTCAGCAGCAGTTCTCGTCACCAGTTGACACCTCGCACCCCTACACGTCAGTCAGAGATGATGATACATACAACGGTAGGGAATTAGCTTATTTTTTCAGAGCACAAAAGTTCGCTAATTCTGTAAGTATCATATTAAATTCAGTGGGAAAAACTTGCTTTATGTCCTTTAGAGACTTGGCAAGGTATGCCTACATCCTTGGACTACCAATTTTACTTTTGAAGCATTTAACTGTTTCATTTGTTTTCGAAACTTTGTTTCATTTGTTAGTAGGATTTTCTTGCCCTTATTCTCTTACATGAGTACCGGGTACAAGATTTCCTGCGCCCTTGATTTAATTTAATATCTTTCACTTAACGTTAATTGTTAAAGATCACACAGGATAGGTACCAGTTGCCACGTTGTCCTGTTTCTGACATTTCATTATTGAACATTCGTGTACCTTTATTTGCTAATTTCACCATGTTTCGTCTCCAAACTTTCCGTGCAAATCCAGCAGGTGAAATAGGAACTTTAAGTCGTGCCAAGAGGACTGAACTACAAACTCTTGCACATGAGTATCAACTAGAAGTTCCCTACCAAGCCAACAAAAATGACCTACACAACCTGTTGCTGGATTACTATTTAGAGCAAGGTAAGATAGACTCTGAAACACATGAAACTTACTATATTGCAGAGAAAACTGACTTGGCAGCGATGAAACTTAAACTAGAGCTGGCCAAGATTGAACGTGAGCAGCAAAGAGAAGCAGCTGCCATACGAAGGGAAGAACACGAACGCGAAGCCGCTTTGAGGAGAGAAGAACACGAACGTGAGGTCGCCTTGCTCCATGAACGTGAGAGAGTACAGCTTGAAACAAAACAACGCGAGTTGGAAATACAACGCGAACATGACAAGCAACAAGCAACTCTGGCTCTAGAGTGTCGTCAACGTGAAATCGCCTTGGAAACTTCACACTTCACCCAACGCCAGCAAGCTACTGCCAATCTTCCCGTCAGTTTTAATATATCACATGCAAGTAAGTTAATGCCATCCTTTGTAGAAGCAGAAGTTGATGTTTTTTTCACCACCTTTGAAACCCTTGCTAATCAACTCAGTTGGCCTGTCAACCAATGGGCCACACTTCTCAGAGTCCATCTTACAGGTAGAGCTGCAGTCACACTCAGTACTTTGGCGTCTGAGAATGACTACTACACTCTGAAACAAGCAGTGTTAGACGCCTACCTACTTTCCACCGAAAGTTATAGAAGGAAATTCCGTGACCACCTGAAGGCAAGTACCACTACCTTCCTCGAGTTTGCTAACACGAAACGGAGGTATTTCATGAAATGGCTGGAAGCAGCACATGTCTCTACTTTTACAGAACTCGTGAACCTGATGCTTGTTGAAGAATTCTTGAGACGTGTGCCGCCTCCTGTCCGCCTCTACTTAGCAGATAAAGAAGAAACCGACTACCTGAAGTGTGCTAAGTCGGCTGACACTTACAGCCTCATCCACCGGCTGACACCTGAACCATCCTCCAGTAAGAAGTCGTGGTACAGTTACGAGAAGGTGAGCCCCGATCAAGCTGGTTCACAACTGTACTGCAAGTATTGTAGACTCTATGGACATACCATAGACAAGTGTGGTAAGTCTCAATACAAGGGATCCACTGACCAACAACGACCCAAACCAACTCCTCCTAAGTCCGGTAAGCCTGTGATGAATGTTGGTGTTGATGTTAATGATCTTTCTCTTTTCAGTAACCACCTGTATACTGGAACTGTCTCTGCCAACGGTTCAAATCCGGAGGGACGTTTCAAATTGAAGATCTTGAGGGACACAGCGGCTCTACAATCGATCATCTTGAAGTCGGCTGTGCCCAACATAGTCTACACCGGGGAAACGGTCTTCATCACTGACCTCACTGCTACTACTCCATACCCTCTCGCCAGAGTCCACCTGGATTGTCCCTACGTGAACGGGGAAGTCCAAGTCGCCGTCAGGGAAAAGCCTTTTCCCATGCCTGGAGTGCAACTTCTCCTAGGCAACGACTTGGCAGAAGACCTGCAACCAACCAACCTGATCGTCATGGACAAACCCCAGGTGTGTAACTCTGTGCCAAGTAACCCTATTCTCGAGTATGTTCCAGCAGAGGTTCAAGAGAGTGATGAAGTTTCTCCTCCGGTTCTCGTGACCACCCGTGCACAAGCCGCACGTCCACAGCCAGCTGACTCTACTGCCACCGCTGTCCCTCAAGACCCTCAGAAACTACCCCCGCATCTGACCAAGTTGGAGTTCCGTAAGTTGCAGAGGGAAGATCTTACTTTAACACCATTGTTTTTCCAGGCTGAGACTCAACCCGACAGTATTCCTGGGTTCTTCCTAGAGAACGACTTGCTCTACCGCAGATATAGACCCAGTAAACTGAAGGAGGAGGACGATTGGGCCAACACCGAACAACTTGTGATTCCCACCAGCCTGCGGCCCACTATTCTACACCTGGCCCATGGAGCATTCTCCCACTACGGCTTCAACAAGACTTACCATGGGATTCGTCAAGACTACTACTGGCCAGGTATGGTAAACAACGTCAAACAGTACGTAAAACAGTGTCATACATGTCAGATGGCAGGCAAACCGAACGTCTCCATTCCCAGAGCACCACTGATTCCCATACAGGTGCCTGCGGAACCTTTCCACAGACTCATAATAGACTGTGTCGGTCCTTTACCTCGGACCAGTTCAGGTAACGCCTACATCCTAACCATCCTGTGTCCTACCACCAGATTTCCCATAGCAGTTCCAGTGAAGAACATCACGGCTGCTACGGTTATCAAACATCTATTGAAGATCTTCACTCAATACGGATTTCCCAGGGAGATTCAAAGTGACTGTGGCACCAACTTCACCAGTGATCTCTTCAAAAGAACACTGGAGGAGTTCAACATCAAACAGGTATTGTCCAGCCCCTATCATCCTGCTTCACAGGGTTCTCTTGAACGTAGTCATCAGACCATCAAAGCACTCTTGAAAAAGTTTTGTAGTGAAACCTCAAAGGATTGGGATAAGCAGATTGACCTAATAATGTGTATTTTCAGAAGTCTCCCCAATGAGTCCCTAGGAGTATCTCCTTATGAGATGCTCTACGGCCGTAAGTGCCGTACTCCCCTTAAGGCTTTCAAAGACTCTCTCAGAGATGCCACCTTCAGTGAGCATCAGAATGTGCCCCAGTTTCTTCAAAACCTTCAGCACATTCTAGAGAGAGTCCACCGCTTTGCCCATGATAATCTATTGAAAGCCCAGGTGAGAATGAAGACTCATTACGACCAGACCAGCAAAGTAAGAAAATTCAAGCCGGGAGACTTCGTCCTTGCTTATTTCCCTATCCCAGGTTCACCTTTACAAAACAAATTTTCAGGACCCTACTGCGTCAAAGAGTGCAGAAACAACAACGCATACGTCATAGAGACTCCAGATAGGCGGCGGAAGACCCAGCTGTGCCACGTCAACCTCCTGAAGCAATATAATGGTACTCCTCCCACTGTCTTGATTAATTGTTCTACCTTCACAGAACCCTACATCCACAGTGAGACCATCCCGGCTTCTTCTCCCGAAAGCACTGACAAGGAGTCGGCGCTTTCTAATTCCAAAATCCTTAATGATCTTCCCAAATGCTTTCAGGATAATAATCGTGCTCCTATGCCCTCTTCTAATTCCACTCTCACCTCGTCAGATAAGCCCTTCATCCTCCATGTCGACGCCAATGGTACCGACGTGGGTGGTGTCGTGATGCAGCAACGAGGCGAGAAGAATACACCTGTCAGCGACTACTGCTACAAGGATCTACGGAACAATTGGCAAGGAGCTACTCTTCCTCATCCTGAAGCTTCAGCACTTCACTCCACACCTGAAAAGTGCTCGGTCCACCATCAATACGGACCACACCACCCTACACCTCCTGCAGCACGCCCACTTCTCATCTCAACGTCTTCTACTATGGGCTTGCTACCTGCAGAAATTCAACCTGGAGACACGCTATACCAAGAGTCTGACAACATCTTAGCCCATGATCTCTCCAGAGTTTATGAAGTAGAAGCAACTCCATCCATTACTCCACCACATAACGACGTACTTCTTCCAGAACCGCAGGCTTCGGGGGAGAGTTGTGACGATAATCTCCTTCAAGAGATTGAGCCTGCTCTTCCCTCCAAAATTACGTCTTCACAACTATATAAAAGACTATGGAAGAAATGTCCAACAACGACAACAGCACCAGCAAGGCTTGCAAGGGTGAGCAGAAACGTATGCAGCCCGCCACCTGTTCGGACCCAAATCACCAAACTACCCGTTGATCGCTACGGCTCCGCTGATTGGTCGCCGGTCTGGCTGCACCTGCACTCGCCCCCAATACTACCCGATGTCTGGGGTCGCCCCAACATCAGTCTTCAGAATGTTCCGTGCTTTCGTAGCCAGCACACCTCCCAGCTAGACTCTAGAGTGTACTGAGAGAGGTGGTGGCTTTAAGCCAATATTCCAGCACCTCCCACTTACTGTTGTATTGCACTTCTTGTTATTTTGCCTTAACGTAACTTTCATTGTGTCATTTAAGTATTCTTATTCTTTTGATTCATTGATTTTATTATAAGAATTTGTTTGTGCATTATTTTCATGTTTTGATTTATTTAACGTAATTAAAATTTCATTGTTAAAGTTTTACTTGTGTTTTGTGTGTCTTCTCCTTACCTTACCACAGACGAAGTTCCAGTTTTTCTATTTTTTTATAACTATGTGACGAGGCCATACCCCTAGCATTAAACAGCCAAACACCAACGCGTTACCGTCACAATATATATATAAATATATAAATAAATAAATAAATATATTATATATATATATATATTATATATATATATATATATATATATATATATATATATATATATATATATATATATATATATATATATATATATATATATTTAAATTGTTAATATGTAGCCTCTCCAGACAAAATGTCAAAAAGTATCCAAGTGATGAGAAATATTGAAGACATCAAGCAAAGGGATACGAGCTGCATTTATCACACACACAACGTTCTTCAAAGGCTACATCACCTACAAATTAAGCCTATTGCATGGTTGTTTGTTTATATTTTTAAAGGCAAATACAGTGTAACAGAGCCTCTTCCTGCCCGTCTCTTTTCCCTCAAATGTCCGAATGATCTTTTGTTGCCTTACTATTGCTAAACATCACATGAGACCAGAAGGCATGGCAGGATGTGCAGAATACCCCCATTGAAGAGCAGAGGTGCAACAGGTACTCTGAGGGAGAACTCTATCAACATCAGAGGACCGAGACTGTTCAACACTACACATAAGGGGCATAACTGGCCGACCCCTCGCAGTGTTCAAGAGAGAACTGGATAAGCACCTCCAAAGGATACCTGACCAACCAGGCTGTGATTCATACATAAGGCTGCGAGCAGCCGCGTCAAACAGCTTGGTTAACCAGTCCAGCAACGAGGAGGCCTGGTCGACAACCGGGCCGCGGGGACGCTAAGCCCCGGAACAACTCCAAGGTAAGGTAACCCCATAATTTTGAGCATAGCAATGTTCCACACATTGAATTATATAAATTCCACAAATTACACACTTTTGAAAAATATTACAGCAAAAAACCAGAGAAGAAACAAATGAGAAACATCAAAATGCTGTAATTGTGAAACATTATATTCACGGCAACTGCCACCCCACAGGGTGGCGGTGCAGACGAGCACTCATCGCTCAGCACCCATAATTTGCTCAACTTCCCAGCTCCATCGCAGCTAAAGTATGTCACATACAATTTTTTTTTTTTTAGTTTCCCGTGATCAGAGACTGCATTTTAACAATACGTGATAAAATAATTTTTTGGAAATAATTTATTTTTCGGAGCATCACAGGAGTGTCGTATTTCAATGCAGAGCTGTGCAGTGGTTAATACTGTGTTCACATATTAAAATATACCAATTTTCAAAGTTTTTAAAATTATTTTCTTGCATTACAGAAGTTTACATCTGGCTATAGCTAATGAAAATTAAACTATTTCACTATGTGAAATTTTTTTGAAGTTAAGAGTAGAGCTGTAACTATCTTCTATAACTATTTGTAACTATAATACGTTCAATTAATTATGCTTAGTCAATTACCTTCTAAAATTTTGTGTATATAAACATGTGACAGGTATTCATGCTCCTTATTAACATACCGCTTGTTGTGATCCCATTTGTGGCTGCTTCTGAAACTGTTGTGTTTGCTGCTGCTGCTGCTGTTGTTGTTGCTGTACTTGTAACTGCTGCAGTTGCTGCTGTTGCTGCTGCTGCTGCTGCTGTTGCTGCTGCTGCTGTTGTTGTTGCTGTTGCAGTTGTTGCTGTGGATACTGTTGGGTTATGAGCTGTGAAGTGTCTTGATACGAGGGGGAAGGCACCATCATGACTGGAGAAGGAGACTGGTTATACTGGGGTGACTGCGAGTGGATGAACTGAGAGAGAGATAATCCACCATCACCACCACCCCCTCCCCCTCCTCCTCCCTGATATGGAGGAGAACCCACAGAGTGTTCGACCGGAGACAGTTGGCTGTATTGTGGGGAATTTGGTGACAACTGCTGGCCTGGTGAAGGCACCTGTAGCAAATAGGAGTGCATTAATAATGCTGATTTAATATACAATATAAACACTTTATATTAAATCATTAACAGTCCAGGATCAGTATTAAATCAATAATAGGAGGCCTAATTTAGAGTAGCAGCAATATTTAGGACAAAGTAACAAGCAGAAATTAAAGATGCGAGTGATAAGTTGGGGATTCCTACCCATTTCATAAAAGAAAAATATCTTTCTCAGTAAATTAGTTTTGCAAAATAGCAATGGCAATATTTTTTAACGTATACAGTATATATAGTGAGTGGGAGTGTGTCAGAGAGAGTGAGTGTGAGAGAGAGTGAGTGTGAGAGTGAGAGAGTGTGAGAAAGAGTGTGAAAGAGAGAGAGTGTGTGAGTGTGTGAGAGAGTGTGAGAGAGAGTGTAAGAGAGAGAGAGTGTGAGAGAGAGTGTAAGAGAGAGAGAGTATGAGTGAGAGAGAGAGAGAGAGAGAACGAACTCCAGACAAGGCACAAGAAGCGTTAAATAATGGAAAAAGTAACTACACAAGTGGAAAGTTTTCCCAATGATGTCCAGTATTGACAAAAATAATCATAAGCTGAATGAGGATTTTAACAGCCTGATGATAAAAAATGAAATACGGACTTGAATACACTAAATAAAGATATGAACAATACAAAGAAGCAAGTGCAATCTCATTCTTAAGATAAATATAAATGCCACAAAGTGAATAATGTATAAGTTAGACACTAAGTTACAGTATTACCTGCAGCACACCATTGCATATGGTGACATATTCCGTACTGGGTGTCCCAACTGATCCCGGGTGGATGGGAGAGTACAATATATTGTTCCCAGAATCTATAGGATTTCCTGGCGAAGGCACCTGTAACAATAATGGCTAATTTCATTACACAAGTACTTAAATATAATGGGAAACAAATATTAAAGCATACAGTTTTACCACAATCAGTCTTACGGCCGTACACTGACCTGCTCTCCTACCCACCTCTGTACACTGACCTGCTCAGGTACATTGCTTCACCCTTTACCTCTGCCAAGAAATAAATACTGTACATCACCCTCCAGGTACAAAAAAATAAAATCTTCTATACAAATAACAAAGTTATACAAAAAAATTGGAAAAATATTTAACAAAATTCTCAATGCCATAGTGATAGTCTTGTACATTTACAAAGTTGTACACAGAAGCCAATTTAGCCACCACCGCCTCCATTATAAATCAAATAAAAACCTCAATCATAATAAAGCATCTCAATTCCTCTCAATGACTTAACACAAGCCAGGTAACAAATTTCACTGTTTAATATTTCAGACTTTCAAGAAATTTTACAACCATGTTGTATGGTTTGCCACCATAAACAAAACTCTACTTTCTATAATTCTCTACTACTTCCCCTCTAGCCCAGCTCCCTACACCTAAAAAATAATGCTATTAATATGAAATAATAACCACCACTTTGAGCTCTTTACTGTCCTATGCACAGCTCATATTCCATACTTTATGTTATAAATTAAATGTTATCATGCAATTTTTTAATTATCCTTTTTCCCTAACATGGCTCTTCCATTACAAGACATATTTGAACTCACAGTGTGTTGCGGAGACTGATTGGAAACTTCCAAGGCATACGTAGGCATCCCGCCATTGTCAGCAAAGTCTGGTGATGAAAACAGAATTTATTTGTAGCAATATTCTATAAATAATCTATTTTCCAACAGCATACTACAAACTTCTCCAACCTAATTTGAATTACTCCAAACATTTGAGTTACTTTCTCCAAACCTATTGCAGATGTTGAAAGCAGTACATAAAGTAAACAACAATAATTGATACAGAAGTAATATTTATCAGAAGCATGGTAAATATGGTTAGATGCAACCCACCTCTCAAAGTATAACATGTACAGAAATCCATTTCATTCAAGAAAGCCAAGATAGTACACTGTAAACTATAAGTAATATATATATTCAGTCCCATTAAATTTATTATTTACACAATGAAATATTAACTATAAATTTTCAGGTTTTGGGTATAATCATTATATAATATACAAAAATATCACCTCACCTCCAATAATCTTCCAGAAATCGGGCGCCTGCACAGAATCCTCTTGCCCTCGACAACCTCGTGCTGTCAACAACAAAACATTTTATACAAACTATTCAAAACTTATCCACACACACACAAGGTTATCTTGAGATGATTTCGGGGCTTTAGTGTCCCCGTGGCCCGGTCCTCGACCAGGCCTCCACCCCCAGGAAGCAGCCCGTGACAGCTGACTAACACCCAGGTACCTATTTACTGCTAGGTAACAGGCAGGCACAACAGGCACAAGCTACGTTTGTTAGAATAAAGAATAAAGGGAATGTTATTGTAACTGCAAAACATTTATATATCCACCCACCTTGTTTACTGTTCATTATAAAATACTCAACCCTATTAAAAAAATTATACAGTACTGTAAACTGTACTGGTAATACACTACAAATGTTACAATACTGTATAGCACATTCATCCAAGCCATTCATCAAATGTTTCTCCAAGCAAGCATTACGATTCTCACATTTTACCTGTAACTCTTCCAATCCATAATCTAAGTAAGAAAAAAATAATAATAATAATTTGTTTGTTCAGTTAACTCCAAACACATTTTAACCTATTTTACTCCAAACAGGACATTGTTAACATTGCTGAAATAACCTGCACATTCCAGAGCATACACAAGTTTTTGTATACACAAAAATGGGACACTACTCTGTTGATGTGGTGGTGTGACTGAAGCATACATTGTCTGCATATACAGCATAAATATACTGTACATATGTAAATTAATATTTGTATCTCCTTCAGGGAAGTAAATCCCAGGCAAAAGGGAAGCAGAGATTGCTAAAATTTCAAGTATCTGACACAGGCACAAGTTATTTAAAATGAAAACCTGACCATTAGACTGCATGATAGCACAAAGGGCTAGTAACTAACGGATGGATAAAATTTTCCTCCATTCCAAATTTACAAAGTTCTGCGGCAACACAATTCTAGACTCTTTACCCTCCACATTTATTTTCTTGTGACTGATTGAACTGTCTGCTATACTGCATCAGCACACAACAATAAAGTAGCTTTCATTTTGTTAACCAATGTTCAAACTCTACTCCTTCCCCAACCTATATATTCACCCCATCAACATGTTGAACAGCCATGATAACGTTAAACTTCTTACCTAAATGTAACCATGCATCCTTGGCACAATCAAGCTTTATTAACCCCAATCAATCATACCCCTATGGAATCTAACATAAACAGCAAGCATCTCACAGCGCCCACAGACCTACTGCACATACTATAGAAAGTCTGAATCTCAAACAAAAATGTAAAATCAACATTTATCATGTCTTGTCATTAAATACAATAAAACAAACTTCTCAAATTAAAAAATCTAATTTGCCAACCCTCTCAAAACACTTTCACTGTATGATCCATCCCACTACACACTTCCACTGCATGATCTGACCCACTATACACTTCCACTGCCTGATCCGTCCCACTACACACTTCCACTGCATGATCCATCCCACTACACACTTCCACTGCATGATCTGACCCACTACACACTTCCACTGCCTGATCCGTCCCACTACACACTTCCACTGCATGATCCAACCCACTATACACTTCCACTGCCTGATCCGACCCACTACACACTTCCACTGCCTGATCCGTCCCACTACATACTTCCACTGCATCATCCGACTAACTACACACTTCCACTGTGCACGAGCCCTTACAACAACAACATTCTCCCCACTATGCATGATCCCACTCAATTTTTTAGAACACATTCCAAAATATTCCTGGCTTTCAATAACTTGCATTATATCTTTAAGCCCTTTCAGTGTCACTATTTATGCCCAAGAGTCAATTAGCAGTGCTGCAGTAGTGGGACAGCACATACTAACAGCACTTGGTGTGTATTGTATAAACTACTGTATTTCAGTCAGTAGCAGTGTAAATACTGGAGTATGAAGATGAAGTGAGATGAAGGCAGACATACTGGTATGTTGTATCCAATGTAGAGAGCTTCCAGGGTGTTGATGTATGTCTGAACACAAGCATGAACTAGGGGGACCTTTTCATCCTTTTATATGAACAATGAACATGTAAAGCATGTACATAATGCTGATCATCTCATCAACTTTATTAAAGCTAAATTAGCTTAATAGAACTACTGTACAGTAGTGTCATAAAACATTAATGTAAACTACATTTATTACCGATTGTAAAATATACTGTAATCACTCTTTCCTTTGAATAGTGTACAAATTATACTAAATTTCTTTCAATTAGCCAAATAGTTTGTTCTACTATTGGTTGTCAATATGCCTGTTTAGTGACAACTTTTGAAGCAACCACACAAGAGAAACATTGGATAAATTAGCCTTTTCTGCAATTGTAGTTTTCTTCTTTATAGCAGAATTGCTTAAATTTTGGCATCAGTTTTGTTAACACAACAGTTCTATCTTATGGGCTGTTAACAATCAACATAAAGTGTCATGTATATGGAGTTATAGTAGGTCTTCATATATTTTTGCAATAATTATATATATGTACTGCCCCTCACCCACAACTGGATGCATATGGAACTACAGTACAGTACATCCACATTCCATTCCCTTGTCTAAACTGCAATCATTTCTTTCTTTACACAACACAACAATGCCTGCAGCTTTTTTGTATTTCAACACCTACTGCACACTGACACAAATTATTCCCGTGATTATAACTCCTGGTACTCTTATCTTGCAGCTTCTCACACCAGCAAAACCAATCATGTTCACATTTGTAATCGTTTTATCATTTCTACCCATCAGACTTTCAAAGTATTCTCTTCATCTACTTCTAATTTCTGCAATGGGTTAACACTTACCCATATGTATCTTTAATGTTGCCATAGACTGCTCTTTCCAGTCTCTAAGTGTCGGTTTTTATTTTACTTTTCTTCCAACCTCCTCATTCACTTTTTTTTCCCTAAGATTAGATAATAAGTTAGGAGTATTAGCTTCTCATGCACATATTAACTAATATATTACAAGAACATCACTCTTTGCTGGAGATTGATAAAGGTCATTCTTCCTTCAATACTGACCATTTGAAAGCTACATATTATTAGCATATGCTAACCACAGATGACTACACTTCATCCTTTACCACATTTGCTACATATCCATGTGTGTTTTGCTTTCAAACTAGAAGTTCTTGACACCAAATCCACATGCATATATAGGTTATCTTGAGGTTATCTTGAGATATTTGCCACTTGCATATTTTGCAGTTGCACCATGTATTAAGTTGTAAAATATATATGCATCATTTAAAGAATTAACAAGGAAAATACCATTAAATGATACATGCACTGATGAGGTTCTATCAAATACTGACTATTGAGGTACAAAAGTCAATTTTAGCATGAAAAAAATGAAATGCCAGTCTAACATAAGTAAATCTTTTCCAAATTACATTTATACAGTGCTTACTAATTATTAGCAATTATGCGGTGCTTAAGACCTCCACCTGGGGGTGGAGGCCTGGTCGAGGACCGGGCCGCGGGGACACTAAAAGCCCCGAAATCATCTCAAGATAACCCCAACAGAATTATTTATTTCAAGTACACATTTTCAATTAATATTTTATAAGCATTTTCTCAAGTTACGTTACTGAAACGTGATGCTCATATCCCAGAGTCTGATTTTATAGTATGATAAAACAAAGTATGGATATTGTTTTACCCTGACATAACACATGGAGTACATTCTGAACCAGATTCATCAGTTTAGTTTTTCCTTGGTCTTCTGGGCAAATGCTAGGAATTTTTAGCATATCAGCAATTAACTTGCTTCCAGATGTGATGATTAACTTTGAAGAAAACCAATCATTATTGGCTTCATTTCCATTCATTATGAAGCTTTCTTGGTGATTGTCAATTTGCAGGCAAAATACTTACAACTCCAAATGATACACTGGTGAATATTGAAACAAAATAATTATATTTCACCATTTATTGAACTCATCACTCAAGTGTATCAAATTTGTAAGTCGCTCGCTGGAGCATTAAATTATTAGAATATAGAATCATTATCGCATTAAGAATTATGCATAGTGCTCAGTTCTAAAGAATTAACTTAAAATAAACCTCAATATAAAACACCCTCACTTTTAAAAGTTATCTAATTGCCTAAACAAACAATAAACACTAGAGATTAACTCCACTTAAAAATGTAAGCACTAAGCTTCCAGCAAATACGTTTGTAATATATTAATTTTGCAGCCTATGCCATGAGAATCACTCTCCTCACCAAGGTATGAATTCTGGATCAAAATAATACTTGTGCAGACTTAGATTAATTATTCTAAACAAAACTTCAGTAAATAATTGATTTCATAACTTTTTCACAAAAACATTCACAGTTGAAATAATGTTCATGGTGCATCTCGTCACACGTTATCCGCCAAATTAACGAAAATAAATCATAACTACCGTCTTCCCTCTATTAAATGTCCTCTCTGATTTACTTAATGTCGAGTCGCATACAGTGACCTTTTACAACCTCTCTTCAATTTACCTTTTTAATTGGATTTATATCCTTATTTTTAAAATATAAATTTGCAAATTTTGGGACGCTGATAAAGTTGGCATGGCTGAGTTGCCCTTATCAAACTAACTTCCTTCAGCTTGAACAACAAAAGAGGAGGCAGGAAATGATACAAAAAATTATGTTAGAATGAAGCAGTGAATTTTAAAGCTGGAAATTCTTTTGGTCAATCCATGGGGAGTTTTACCATGATAAGAGAGCTGTCTAAATGTCTGAAAAAATTGATCAAAAAGAGAAGAGAAGAGAGGAGAAAAGGAGAGAAGAGAAAAAAAAGAGAAAAAAAAAGAGAAAAAGAGATGAGTGAGAAAAGAGAGAAGAGAATAGGAGAGAAAAGAGAGAGAGAGAAGAGAGAAGAGAAAAGAGGAAAGTGAAGAAAAGAAAATACCACAGAGGTCAGCAACACTCCCTACAAGAAGTCCAAGAAAAAGAAAAGACAGCAGTTCATCTCATGCAGGTGACGAGTCACAATAATGTGGCTGAAGATATGACGACCAAACCACACACCAGAAGATGAGGGGACAACGACGACGTTTCGGTCCGTCCTGGACCACTGTCGACTCGATAATGGTCCAGACGGACCAAAACATTGTTGTTATGGAGTCGGTTGGCCGAGCGGACAGCACGCTGGACTTGTGATCCTGTGGTCCCGAGTTCGATCCCGGGCGCCGGCGAGAAACATTGGGCAGAGTTTCTTTCACCCTATGCCCCTGTTACCTAGCAGTAAATAGGTACCTGGGTGTTAGTCAGCTGTCACGGGCTGCTTCCTGAGCATGGAGGCCTGGTCGAGGACCGGGCCGCGGGGACACTAAAGCCCCGAAATCATCTCAAGATAACCTCCCCTCATCTTCTGATGTGTGGTATGGTCATCAGTCCACCTTATGGTTTTCCAGTTTGGCAAAAGAAACCTGCTAGGCTTATTGAGGTCCCCTTAGGCCAACTACTGAGCTTTCTCAGGATGCAACCCATAACAGTCGCCCAACTGCCAGGTACATATATTTAATGCTAGATTCACAGGCACATTAGAGGCAAGGAAACCTGCCCAACTCTTCCATTCTGCCCAGGAATCAACCCAAACATCCCCTGCTGCAAGCCAAACAGGTTGACCACTGTGCTACTCCTCTTCCTCCCTCAAATGAAAGTCGGATAATCCTGTTTCAGTAACTATTCAAATAGCATTCAGCCCACACCAAGCCCCAAAACACACTCAGCAGATATATATTTTAAGAACATAAGTATTGTACATATACCATATGTTACTGTATTCATTTAAATGACTTTGGGCAATTTTTTTTGTTTTCTTCTGAGGACCACATCTCCACCTTATATAATGCCATGATTCCGTTGGCAAAATAAGTTTCAATTTATGTCCTTTCCATTTAAGTTCCAATTTCCAGGAACACATCCCGGACGTAAATAAGAGGGATTACAGCATACAGAAAGCCACTAGCAAGTAGCATCATGAATTAACAAAGACCAATGCAAGCTTACTATTGTTACTCAGATCTATGGCTTCACTGGTATAAGGGTTGTAGTTTAATCTCTTTGCTGGAGGGTCATTATAGTGCCTCTTCCCTTCCTCCAACGTATTCTCTAGGTTCACTCTCGAGCGCTTCAAACCTGCAATGACACCCACATTTAGAAACTATTTTTAGATAAGAATGAGTCTTGATTATAAAAAGAGTATGTTAATAAATGTTATCTTTATGATGCACATTGAATGTAAGGAAATAATTGTAAAAAATCTTTATATAAATATTTTAGTGTGAATAAAACTATGTATTTAAAAAAATATGTATACACTGTTGATATATGTATGCATGCATTGTAGAGGGAAACAGCTTCTCCTCCGTATCAACCTACCCTTGTTTGCGCCCTGGAAAGGTCATTACAGACCGACAACCAGAGCCCAACTCCAAAGTCTCCCGAGACTGATGGATGCCTATTACTATTGTAGAGTGTGGTGATAATTGTTGTAGTGTTGATAGTAGTCACATTAGGGATGGTGGTAGTACCAGTATTGGTTGTGATGGTGGTGTAGTACCAGTACTGTAGTTGTATTAGTAGTAGTGGTAGTGTTGGTAGTGGTAGTGATGGTTATAGAGGCATAAGTGGTTATGGTGATGGTAGTGGGGGTTGTGGTGGTTGGGAGTGGCCGGAAGACCAATTAGATAACTACTGTTTACATTTCATTCCACGAGTATAAACTAGGTGAAAGGATTGCCAGTTATGTAATCATATGACATTTAAAAACTTAACACAATCTGGCTAGAAATTTTAAAAGTAATATATTTAATTATACAACACTAAGCAAAACACACAACAATTCTAAAGCAATGCTTAAAAGTAAGATTCTAATACAATCACCTAATGTATTCACTACAATTATGGAAAACGTGAACTTGAAAATTACTCAAAAATAAGTTTAGATCTTCAACTATTCAAGATAAAAATTATAGAAAATTATACATAATAGTATCAAATGCATAATTTTGGAGCAACACTTCTAATTTGCATGATTAATTTACTTCCATTTCTTATGTCAAAGAATTTCTGGAATCACAGTAATTACTTTGACATGTAAAGACTTTACATGTCTTATCACTGCACAGACATGCAGTAAGAATAGACAATAGACAAGCGACAGAAAACCTTGTTTTATTTTCCAATAATTTTCATAAAATCTAGTATGAAATTTATTACAGAAACAATGAAAACAAAAAAAAAACTAAGAAATACATACTGTCTGGGAGGTAAGTGAAGTCAAGAGGTTCACTTGTATCTCTGTCTGTGGGTCGCTCAAGTTGCACTTTGACCCGAACTGACGTATTTAAGTTCGTATTTCGATAACGTGGAGTTCTGGTAATTTTATTTAAAAACACAGCTGTTTTAATGACCAAAGTGGTACAACATGTCACATTAATATATTCTAAATTTCATAGATAATAATAAGTTTCAGAACAAAATGCTAACCTAAACACTAACATAAAATACTTACTTGAACACAATAGCATACTGGTGATGCACATCAGCATCAGTGAATTCTCCGTAAGCAGTCCAGACTTCTCTATCATTTTGATCCAATTCAAAGAATTTTATTTGAACATTATCTGGAAAAAGAAATGGGGGACTTAACAATAACATTGTTACAATACATTCTCTTTCACCTCTATTCTTTTATGTCCCTTCGATTACATTTTTCTAATTCGACAATGACATTAGCAATTACCTAATTGCTAATGCCATTACCAAATTGCTAATTGACAATGACAATTACCTAGTTTGTTCAGTAAAACTTTATCACTGCTTTCATTTAGAAGCAAATCTAGCCTCCTGTAATTCACTGTAATACACAAATTATTAAACTTAAAAATAAGAGCAGCCAGGTCACAACCCCGGGCTCAACTCCTGTGACAGGAGAGAAGTATTTGGGCAACACTTCCCTTCACCCAATGCCTTTGTTCACCTAGCAGTGAATATGTACCTGAGATTAAGCAAATTATTGTGGGTTGCATCCCAGTAAAGATTAATCACTGGTCTGGGAGAGGATGGGGGGGGGGGAGAGCTCAATGAGGGGGGGAAGAGCTCAATAAGGGGGGGGGGAAGAGCTCAATAAGGGGGGGGGGGGAAGAGCTCAATAAGGGGGGGGGAAGAGCTCAATAAGGGGGGGGGGAAGAGCTCAATAAGGGGGGGGGAAGAGCTCAATAAGGGGGGGGGAAGAGCTCAATAAGGGGGGGGGGAAGAGCTCAATAAGGGGGGGGGGGGAAGAGCTCAATAAGGGGGGGGAAAAAGAGCTCAATAAGCCTAACAAGCTTCCTATAACCAGCAATGGGAAACTAAGATAAACCAATTACTTGATCACCCTGAGTGAATTTCTGTTGCCTTTACCTGTCATATATCACTCATAAAAGAAAAGCCCTTTCAAAATTTGAGGTTAAATGTCATTTCAAAAGTGTGATATTTGAAGCCTTAAGCCCCATTGCCACAATGTAAGTACGTACATTCCTGCAATTATAACACTAGCACTATGAACCATCTTTCCACAAGTTTTATATCTGCTCGAGGAGAATTTATGAGACTGGAAAAATGGGTCGAGGGATAGGAGGTGAACGGGAAGGGAAAGATAGATTTGAGGGAGGCAGGCTGGGTAGAGAGAGGAACTGTGAGTATCTGTGTACAGTATTCATTTGTGTATGAACACGTTTGCTAATGCATGAGCGCATATGCGGATAACTCTGAACGAAAAATAGCAAATTAATTCCAAAATGGTTTCTGGTGATGGGGGTAGCATCATTTTCAAACAAAAACTCGGTAAAAATATTATCCCATCGACCATGTATTCCAAGTTTGTAATAAATCTACCACCAAAGAATTACTTAGAACACTTACAGGTGAAAGCATTGAAAATTAACTAAACAAACAAGAAATAAAGAGTAAAATGTGCCAAAACATACAGGTACCCATATTACGAACAGTATATGGCAATTGCCAATCACACTTACTTCTTCTAACTTTCTCAACCAACAGCCAGATTTCTGTCCCTCCAGTGCAGGGGGCTGAGCATGCAGACATTCGCACAATCCTAAGTTCTCCCGTTGTAGCATTTTCTGGTGAAACGAAAAAACCTTGTCAATACGTATCTTAAAATAAACTATGCCTCCTACTTGCGATACAACAGCAAATATGAATATAAAACAGTATGGATCATGTGTATTAAACTAGAAATTTAGTTTGGATTATTCTGAAGATTAACACTTCTGTACTTTATTTTTATGGCAGCCAAACCAAAATATAAATTCCTTAAAAATATCAGAGAAAGATTCTGAATGTTGCCAACTCAAGGTATGTTCAGTTACTAATTTTCAATCACTCAATAATAATGAATTGAGGAAATATCTATAAAGAATTCTATGTAGTACTAACCAAAAAAAAAAATCAAATAATCAGCATCGGCAACCTCTTAAATGATCGCTACATTGCTCTGTGATTATAGATTTTAATACCGATAGTTAGGCGAGAAAGGAGAGACTTCAAACTAAATGGAATAATTGAAACTTATGAATTTAGGCATAAGAAATGAAGCAATTCTAATGAAAATTGTGGTCAGGAAAGTCTAAATAACCTGTGATAAAGGTATTTTAAGAACTGAAGATTAGCCTACATATATTGAGGTGCAGACGTAAGACTAAAATGCACACAACAGATGTATTGCCACTAGTCATAATATTAGTGTGTCAATAAGTATGTATGATAACACATGCAGTGAACATATAGAAATATCATTCTTAAAAGGTGAGAGCAAGGCATATAAGACAACTGCTCATTTATACTGCAAATATAATTAGCATTTACTAATCCATATAATCCAGATTATAGTTGGTGATCCAACCCATCCTCCTGTTTAGGTAACTATGTAACTATGTGTACCATAGTACAACCACTGATGTAAAAGGCAATTAGGTAGTAGAATTTGGTACTATTCACTTTATAGTCTAAAAAAATAAAGCTAAAACCAAACTTAAATATTCCTAGGCCTAGTATAGCACATATGCACATTACTATATTATGCCTCAGATAGCATGTATTAGGATTAGGCAGGTCAGCTTAGGTTGTCTTTGCAACATAAATACATAACCTTTTCCAGTTTATCAAAATTCAATACTGTAATAACAATTTGTACTTTCTAATTGTCCATTACATCATAAATGTACTATGGTCCTCAACATTACTATAAATACTAAATAAACTGGAAGACGGGCTGTGATAATCAGGTATGTGATGAACTATAAACAAAATTATATTAACACACACTTAACTAGAAAATACGTACTAAGATTAAACACGACTTCTGAATCAACAGGAAGGGTGATTGGGCGATAGCTCTCAATGCTCTTGTCATACTGGAATGCTTGGAATCTCAAGACTACCTTGTTCAGATCCATGCTCTTGGCCTCCTCCTCTGCCTCATCATCCATCTGCTCACAAAAGAATGATTAAAATTAGAAAACTTAACTTTTGAAAATCAACACTTATATGTCTCGTGTAAATTCATACTTCAACTTACTACATATAATATTGCTATCAAAGATAACAAATTTTACAAATCTGGATAACAAGATCAACACAGTTTCCCCATTAACCCCTTCACGTTCTAATGAATCTAAAACGCACCACTTGTACTCCGACAGTAAACATTCCAATGACACAAACTCATCGTCTAATTACTATTCATAAATATCCCTATATTCATCACTGTCATGTATAATCCATCATAAATACACTTGTTTTTTGCATCTATTCTCTAGAGAATTCATTTGTGAACACAGACACTAAATTTATGGTTATAACCCATAACAAATAACTTTGAAAATGTAAAATGATTGTAAATTTTAAGCATCACCGAGGCCAGAAACACACAGAGGGGCCGGAGTCCCAGTACTCTGACAATAAACTACAGTACAGTACTCATCCTAGTAATATAAATTTCAAAATTCTTTAAATTTCCATATATCCACCTGATAATGAAAGTGATAATGCAAAATAATCAAATCAGAGTTTTAATAATTCTAATTAAAGTGCAAGACTTGCATTTTTGCTGCCAGACGTATAACTTATCAAATGCTGACTTAGGTTTTTGACAGAGCAGGTCATTACAAAAGCAAAGTTGCCCGTGTCCTCCAGATATCTCATGGAAAGTAAATAATCCTCTGGAAACAATTAGTTCAACTGAGGAAACCATATTTATATTGGCCACAAATATACACCAACAAACTACAGTTAAATTTGAAGTCGCCAAACATCAAATTAAAACAAACTGCATGCGATAACACTAAAGCCATATGAATTTCATACCCTTTTGAGATCTGTTGGTGTGATACTTCTTTTTATTTCTTCATAGGCACAATGTGGCTTACGAAGACGTGCATGGACCATTAATTCATCTCTCTTACGTTGCATAATTATTTCTCTAGTGTCTCGTTTAGCTATGTGAATGATCCCAAGATTCTGAAAACTAGAAATGACACCAAATTAAAAGTTAAAATAACATTACTTTTCTGAAATTATGAAAATACGGGTACAGTATATGGAAATACTGTAGTCGAGACTGACTGGTACACTGTATTATATCACAAACTACTGTAATTTCAATGTGGTTAACCACCAAGGCACTGTATGAACTCAGCTGGATGGAGAAGCTTTCTGTGGACACTAAAGTCATTAAAGAGAAAGTCCTGCTTCCCCAATTTTGCTGTACCTCTTTGCCTGGAAAGGTCAAGACCAAGAAGAGTAAGGAATAAAACAGCAAAAAGTATCTATTGAGTTAGTACTCCTGAAATGGACTCAACAGAGCACCTGCAGGTAAGAAGCATGATGAAAGCCAGGCACCACATTCCTATGGATCAGGAAAAACCACTTGGGAAAAGCAGAAACATATGTAGGCAACTCATTAAACCCCCTTAAGCATTGCCCACTCAGCATATACTGGTAGATAATTAGAAAATTGTTCCTGGAAAGCTAAAAATTTAACAACTGTTGCTAGGCAAGTGCATGCCTGAAAATCTCAGCAACGAGTCACCACACTTCAGTGGACACCTGAGTGTTGAGCTACCACATCGAGAGAACTGAGATAGAGGACCCAATTCAGAAATTAAGACCCTTGCGCACCCAAACCACATGGAAGAGGCAGTATATCTTCAGGTTATCATGAGATAATTTAGGGGCTTAGCATCCCTGCAGCCCAATCTGTGACCAGGCCTCCTTTTTGTTACACCCCTAAAGGAAGCAGCCCGGAGCAGCTGTCTAACTACCAGGTGCCTATTTACTGTTAGGTGAAAAGGATTATCAGGGTGAAGGAAACTTTGCCTATTTGTTTCCGCCTCTGCCAAGGATCGAACCCAGAACCTCTGGACTACAAATATCCACTCCTGTCAGGCCCTTAAGAGGATTACCTGGATGATACCTGGTTGATGGGGTTCTGGGAGTTCTTGTACTCCCCAAGCCCCGCCCGAGGCCAGGCTAGACGAGAGAGTTTGGTCCACCAGGCTGTTGCTTGGAGCGGCCCGCAGGCCCACATACCCACCACAGCCTGGCTGATCCGGAATTTCTCTAAGAAAACAGTCCAGTTTTCTCTTGAAGATGTCCACGGTTGTTCCGGCAATATTTCTTATAGTCGCTGGAAGGACGTTGAACAACCGCGGACCTCTGATGTTTATACAGTGTTCTCTGATTGTGCCTATAGCACCTGTGCTCTTCACTGGTTCTATTCTGCATTTTCTTCCATATCCTTCACTCCAGTACTTTGTTATTTTACTGTTTAGATTTGGGACCTGGCCTTCCAGTATTTTTCATGTGTATATTATTTGTTATCTCTCTCATCTCCTTTCTAGAGAGTACATTTGGAGAGCTTTGAGATTTGGAGATTTCTTCCAATAAAAAACAAACTGACAAAATAGTGACCATTTTCCCACTGAAAAAGGTAGAAATACCCAACAACCAAGAGGAAGCTTGAAGATTATTAGAAATGTGGTTGTTACTGTACATATTACACAAACCACAGCAGTACCCTGTGGTGGAGTGGTTTAATATCACTCGACTAAAAAGAATGAATAACATGGAAAGAAAAAGAAAGAATAATACTGCTTGCCCCTGCAAACCTGGTTGCAAAATGATTGGCAGTTTGTGTTCTACAGAAAAACAGCACTGAATCAACTCATCAGTTCCAATAACTGGCTATAAATCTGAACCCCACAACCATTAACCTTTTGTGCTTAAATGGAATACAATATTACAATTATATAACAAAAGAATGCTTACATATTATGATAATTCATGTAAAACTAATCATTATACTCACACTGCAGTGTAGTTACATTTGTCATCAACAACAACTTCACAAATACCAGTTTCTTTATCACAATTCTTCCCTGAGAGCTCATGTACGTGTCGTTTTCGTTGATTGACATTATCCTCAGCTGTGAAAAGTGTTAGGCGCATAACAGCAGGTCCGTGGTTCCACTTTGCTAGCTGTAACAGTGAAAGAGAGGTTTTGAATCAGGGTGAATTTTAAATTAATGACTTATGACCCTACCGTACACGAAGACTATACTTATAAAATCGTGTAATGCTAGTATTAAAACTGTCTCATTCTTATTATTTAGCAAACTACAGTAGTTATATTTGACTCGGATGTATTTTTAAACTTTGTTGGATTACCAAGTCCAGATATTTTTGCATAATTTAACAATTTCATGGCGTAATAGTGTGCTTGTTGACATTCTAACCAACTAAATCAGCTGCGAGTGATTTATATTTAAGTGGCCGATCTATGTAAAATCTTCCCCAGACATTTCAAAGGCCTCTAGATATTAAATGACAATTGATTGACTGATCATATCCTTTTTCTTCTTTCATGTAACTTCTCACACATGTGAAGCAATTGCAACTTTAAAAAGTGAACCGGGAACAAAATTTGTATTCTATAGCAGTGAAAAAAGTAGACCTAGTAATAGGTAGGAGTATAGAACAAATTAAAACAGTAGAGTGCTGTTTTAATTCAGCTAATTCTGGTCTATGTGCCAACCAGGCAGATGCACCTACTAAGAATGTATGAGAAAAATACAAATAGCCTTCAAACACTACAATATACCAGTATCACATTGCTTGGACTAAGCAAATTAACATGCATCACACTGACTAAACATATTGTGATCTTTGAATGTTTCTTGGTGATATTAGAGAAACCCATCCAACCTATGAATGCAGGAACAGGAGGAGGATTATAAGGCAGGAGATAAAACTGCAGTATTAGCCAGTATTGGTTATCCAGCTGCAATAAAATCCCTTAATGGAACGTTATTGACTCCTCATTAGTGAATGGGGTACAATAACATTTTCTAAATACCTATGAGTCACGTCCCTAGAGCCATAGAAGATAAAAGTACACATGTCTGAGAAACAACTTACCTTCACTGTTGGAAAAATTGCCCTATTTTTAACTGCTCGATCAGCCTTTAACTGACCATGAGTCCCCACCATTTCACTCTTGTAACGAAAACGAAATTTGGACTGTGGTTGCTCCAAGATATGTATGTATGGCCCATCATGGTGAACAGCTGTTGATTAATTTAGCATATTAACTTCTATTCTAACATTAAACAATTATTATTACTGTGGTACAACAAAATATGGCACAATACTCAAAATCATAAATTTTATAGTATTAAAAACTATAGTACTGTACTGTACAGTATACTATAAATATATATACTGTACTGTGCTCAGTTTATATTACAGTACTTCACATTAAGTTAATGCATATACTGCACACATACATGTACCTGCATTGCATTCCTTACTGAAAACACATTATTCACTCAGAAGTACAGTACAGTATATTCATACACATGCATAAACACATGTACGCACAGGTACACACACCTAAGAATATTACATACAGTAGTAAGATCAACTATTTCTCAGCTGATCACTGGCACCATTGGATAAAATAAAACCACAAAGCCAGGAAGGCTACAAATGTACACCAGTAACATGTTGAAAAATTAATGTCATCTTAAAAGTGTGAATAAAATGTAGAAATGTGGTTATCCATGACTATGCATGCTTTTCACAAACCATTAGATATATGTTATGTTCTGCTTTGTTTCCAGATGAATATCTGGACCTTACATTGTAGAATAGCAAGAGTAGGCATATTATGGGTAAAAACAATATTATGAAACATCTAAGAAATATTGCCGGAACAACCGTGGACATTTTCAAGAGGAAACTAGATTTATTCCTCCAAGGAGTGCCGGACTAACCGGGCTGTGGTGGGTATGTGGGCCTGCGGGCCGCTCCAAGCAACAGCCTGGTAGACCAAACTCTCACAAGTCGAGCCTGGCCTCGGGCCGGGCTTGGGGAGTAGAAGAACTCCCAGAGCCCCATCAACCAGGTATATGTGGGCCTGCGGGCCGCTCCAAGCAACAGCCTGGTGGACCAAACTCTCACAAGTCAAGCCTGGCCTCGGGCCGGGCTTGGGGAGTAGAACAACTCCCAGAACCCCATCAACCAGGTATATGTGGGCCTGCGGGCCGCTCCAAGCAACAGCCTGGTGGACCAAACTCTCACAAGTCAAGCCTGGCCTCGGGCCAGGCTTGGGGAGTAGAAGAACTCCCAGAACCCCATCAACCAGGTATATGTGGGCCTGCGGGCCGCTCCAAGCAACAGCCTGGTGGACCAAACTCTCACAAGTCAAGCCTGGCCTCGGGCCGGGCTTGGGGAGTAGAAGAACTCCCAGAACCCCATCAACCAGGTATATGTGGGCCTGCGGGCCGCTCCAAGCAACAGCCTGGTGGACCAAACTCTCACAAGTCAAGCCTGGCCTCGGGCCGGGCTTGGGGAGTAGAACAACTCCCAGAACCCCATCAACCAGGTATATGTGGGCCTGCGGGCCGCTCCAAGCAACAGCCTGGTGGACCAAACTCTCACAAGTCAAGCCTGGCCTTGGGCCGGGCTTGGGGAGTAGAAGAACTCCCAGAACCCCATCAACCAGGTATATGTGGGCCTGCGGGCCGCTCCAAGCAACAGCCTGGTGGACCAAACTCTCACAAGTCAAGCCTGGCCTCGGGCCGGGCTTGGGCAGTAGAAGAACTCCCAGAACCCCATCAACCAGGTATATGTGGGCCTGCGGGCCGCTCCAAGCAACAGCCTGGTGGACCAAACTCTCACAAGTCAAGCCTAGCCTCAGGCCGGGCTTGGGGAGTAGAAGAACTCCCAGAACCCCATCAACCAGGTATATGTGGGCCTGCGGGCCGCTCCAAGCAACAGCCTGGTGGACCAAACTCTCACAAGTCAAGCCTGGCCTCGGGCCGGGCTTGGGCAGTAGAACTCCCAGAACCCCATCAACCAGGTATATGTGGGCCTGCGGGCCGCTCCAAGCAACAGCCTGGTGGACCAAACTCTCACAAGTCAAGCCTGGCCTCGGGCCGGGCTTGGGGAGTAGAACAACTCCCAGAACCCCATCAACCAGGTATATGTGGGCCTGCGGGCCGCTCCAAGCAACAGCCTGGTGGACCAAACTCTCACAAGTCAAGCCTGGCCTCGGGCCGGGCTTGGGGAGTAGAAGAACTCCCAGAACCCCATCAACCAGGTATATGTGGGCCTGCGGGCCGCTCCAAGCAACAGCCTGGTGGACCAAACTCTCACAAGTCAAGCCTGGCCTCGGGCCGGGCTTGGGGAGTAGAAGAACTCCCAGAACCCCATCAACCAGGTATATGTGGGCCTGCGGGCCGCTCCAAGCAACAGCCTGGTGGACCAAACTCTCACAAGTCAAGCCTGGCCTCGGGCCGGGCTTGGGGAGTAGAAGAACTACCAGAACCCCATCAACCAGGTATCAACCAGGTATCAACCAGGTATCAACCAGGTATCTGTGTCACCAAAACCAAACTACCAGTGCACAGCCAATAACCACCTCACCCCCTAACCAATTAATAATGTCTGCAGCCCAGTTTGGCCACCTATATGTTGTCATTAATTTCTTGATAGATGCTACATCTACAAACTATATTTTCTTGTCATTTTATAGATCAACATCTTTCCACTCATAATACAAGTTAGTCCAAAAAAGGCTCCAACTTAATTTTTATATACAAGTTGGAGAATAAATACATTCTTATGGTGGCCAAGACTGACAACATTCACCCCCCCCCCCCCCCCGTGAAAAAGAAGCTCAATATGACGGCACTAAGAGGACTACGAGAAATACAATATAACCACAACGTACAAGATACAGAGGTGAACAGACATGATGGAGAAGGCCAGTCTATTACAAATTGGTGAAAACAAAATGCGGGAGCACAGGTGGAAGCAAGAAACAAAGGCGAGTCACAGTTGTAAGAAACCCCTGGAAACAGAAGTGATGGATGGAACCACTTCCAAATACAGCTTTTGAAGAGTTTCAAGAACACTGTAATAGAGAGAAATAAATACACCAGGTACCCCAGATAGTAGGCAGTCCCCAAGAGTTTAATGCCACCCCAAATAAACACAAACCAAAACACACATCCCCAGGTATACTGTACAGTAAATGCATCACATTATGATTCCCATAAATGAGTGGACAGTACTTAAATTTCAATACTGTAACTGGTATTTTGAAGATACTGTACTTAATCTGACTGCTCACCATCATAAGGCCGATTGAAGGCAGCAACAACTGTAGGTGGGGATGGAACACCAACTGACTGGTCCGAGTATGGAGAGGCAGACTCTCCACTGTATGGGGAATTCATCCCACCACTGTAGGAGGAAAAAAAAGGATCAATCATTCAGATAATAACAAAACTTAATACTAACTAATTACTAATAATACTAATTCTAGTAATCACCAAAAATATACAAGGGTTGTTTATTACAGCACATTGCCTTAAAATGAAAATGTGAAAGATACTGTACTTGAACATGAATCTAAATTTGATCAACTGACAACAAAAAATTGGTATCAAGAGTTTTAAAGTTATAGCTATATCTGTAGTGATCACCAAATTTAAGTAATGTAATGTTTTATCCTAAATTCCTAAATACTGTACAGTACCACAGTAGTTGGCTCATTTCCAACAAATTTCAATTAATCAATGCTCCTAATAAAGTTAAATGCACGAATACTGTACAATATGGCATTGCCAAACCCCAGTTTCCAGTGTCAGTTAATCATCTCTAATATAAAATTCCATATCATCCAAATAGGATATTATACAAAAGCTTAAAAGCATTTCGCAGATATATATCTTAACCTTTTACTCAATTTCTTTCTACATTTGGGTCACGCACTGTTGAGAGTGGCCAGTAACTGGATGGCCTTCCTTGGATAGCAAGATCCCAAAAAGCCTAAATAGCAACTGTTGCTGACAATGGCACACCTGCATTTCTAAGTAAAGTACAGTACTGTACTGTATTGTACTACTGTTCTGCATAATCTTGGAAAGCAAGCCAGACCAAGAGTACACACTGGAAAATTGCAGCGCCTTCTCAGTTTAGAATAGTCTGAATAATGAAGCTTAAACAAAAAATTATGTATATGAAGTAAGAGATTTATTGACTATTTTACAATAAAGATGGAGGCCAAGGGATGCTGTTCCACTAGGCTACAGACAAGCCTACATTATATTTGAAGGGTTTTGTAGTACTATGGCTACATTTTCATCTCACAATCAGGGATCCTGGTTTCAATTCCCAGGTTGGCTAGAAATGGTTGGGCATGAACAGAGGAAACGCCTAATAATACCACTGTTCATCTAGCAGTAAACAGGTACTCAAGAGTCAAGTTGGGGGCAACTCAAGAGTTGCTTCCAACAACAGGAATCATTATAGTATCAGTCTTGTCTATACAACTCTTCATTTCATTCCAATTTATACTGTATCCAATTTCTAACAGTAAATTTTCCTGTGGGCCTATATCCAAATAGTGTAGTGTCCCAGAGTTCTGTATTCAACATTTCCATAGCTAAAGTTCATCCTTCACATGATGAAAATTACTCCTGAGATAACATTAAATTTTCAATTATAATCCATATTCCAAAATTGTGCAGAACAAGCACTGTCCATTATTTTCAGTACAAGGAAAGCACACTCCCTAACTTGGCAATCAAATTTACCCTAATATAACCAAACAATCTAATCTACAAATGGGGTGAGAATAGCTTGAGCTACCTCATCCCTTTGTGTGTATTTATACTGCAATAAACTTATTTCAATTCAATTTCAATCTGACCTACAAATATAGTTATACTGTAATAGCATTTTCAAGGTGAATGCACAATACTGGTTAGGTCATGATAGATTAAGCAGTAATTTTTCATCACATTGAAAACAGTGGCTGGCACTATTCTCATTTTACTTTGAAAACTGGCATGTAACTTGTATAATAACAATAATAACTCCCCAACATTTGTGACCATTGGTGGCAGTCAAATATAATCTAGAAACACGTAAGTGAAATCTCAAATTTACTAAATGTGATAAAGTTATCATTTGAAGTGGGTTCACTAACAAAATTCTGAATGCTTGGATAAATTAAAAGAAAAACTTTCTTCGGGTAGGTTGGGTAAGGTTCTGTAAGGTCATGTTTATCTTGTACCTAGCCGATTCCCAATTCAAATGTTCCAAGTATTTCGCGAGTTTTCAGTCTCACCGGTTCACAATCTGTCCTATGTATAATTTACTCCTAGTTAAGCCACAATTTTCTGGATGCTAGGTTAAGATAAAGGTAAGGTAAATTCAGGTTACTTTGGTTTAGACCAGGAGCAACTTTGAACTATGGCAATTTGGAATGTACTGTACATGTTATATACCACAGGAAACACAAAAGTACAGCAAGTCCAATAAACTTTAGTTCATGACTACACATCTTGTTCCATTGTATAACTTTTGCCGTAAGTTATAAAAGCTATAGCATGTATTTGTGGGGTATCCCCTTGTCTTTGAGTAAGCCCAGCATACAAAACATGAGGATTTTTCTAAACGTGTAACCTACAATGACAACATTTTTCCCATTTTCATTCCTCCTGCCTTACACACTTCACAAACAAATCTCCTTCAAGGGTCACCAAAAACCGACATTTACATAGACAGCGACGACCACATATATAACACAACCCTTCCTTTGCCAGCCATAATAAACCCTTGTAGCAAAACACGTAACCTTCACCCACAGGGAGTCGGCAGCTCACACACGGCTCTCCCTAATCATGACATCAACTGTCCTTGAAGATCCTCCCCATAGAGGACCCCGCCATAGAGTATAGGGGATGAAAGGTGGTGACAGGCGCAGGGGGGAGGATACTGAGACACCTTGTGGCTTACCAGCACTGTCTCTTCCCTCCCGTGACACTCCCAAACGCCGTCAAGTGATGAAGGCAGGCGCTGGCGCACTGTTTACCACAGCTTGGGAAATCCCCAGTTCCAATAATATTTACGGAGGGCGACCCTCGGGGGGCCGGAGCACTCGATCCCACTTGACTCGGTCCACACCTTGCCACACAATACTCTACTGTGCCGTGCTCCAAATTTCTCCCCTGGCATCGTTTACAAGGCATAAATGCTCTTATATGTGGGGTTATCTTGTCAGTTTTCTTGCATTTTGTACACAGACACAATACTCTCTACGGGATATCCGATCCTCTTCCTTGCAACCACCTGTAGGAGTCTGTGCCTGTCATTAGGGCGATACACGTTTTGTTATATATTCCGTTTTACGGCACACTTCACTGTTATAACTCGCTACAAAGATCACTTACACTATATAATTTTCACAAAACATGTGGACTAGAGCAGGACGCTGACTACACTAGCAGGAGCTAGAAACTAAGGCCCGGGCACAGCTTTGGAAGACTTTATAGTGAGAGGGGGAGCGACTGGTGAGGGTAATCCCCCAGCGGACGGGCCTTCTGCAGCCGCGTCACTATAGTGCACTGGCTGGGTCAACTGCTCGTCCAGCCAAACCTTACACCCAACAGGATGCCACGGGGATTTTTACTCTTACGGGGGAATCATGGCCATGCTCGCGTTTATTTTTAGTTTTAGTTCAGTTATTATGCAGCCCAAATTCCTCATCCCTGTAAGCGGTGGTATAAAGGTTACAGAGGCGCAGTTATTAACATTTACCTGGATTTACCTAAGGGTCACTATGTATCTAGTGGCTTCGACGAGGACAGGAAGCCGACAGCTTGTCAAAAGACAAATAAATATAATTTATCCTGATGATTTTATCAAGCTAAATTTTGAAATTAAGCAGCAGTCTATAATATTTTTTTTATCCTGGTGATGCATATATATATATATATATTCAATGTTGTATTGCATCCCGCATTCACGGAATGACATTTTGTTCCCTAAATCCTAACCAAGTATCCCAAATTATGAACATAAAACATTAGAAACTGCAGGAGACCTATATATTGGCCCATGCCACAGCTGCTCCTATACCCAACCAAACTCATAATTATAAATGTCAAACCTATATGAGTCTGAAACAATCCAGTGCTCTTTAGTTCATTAATTATGCACGCCATACCCATCCTAGCCATGAGTGGTTGAGCAAAAGGTCACAAAGGCACGTATAATATGCTCAGTAATTATACCCAACCCCCAAAATTCGTTTATAGCTAAGCTATTAAGTAACATATTTTATGAGCATATACATTAACATTGTAATCTCAGTTTATCAAACGTACATCAGTGTGACCCGAAGAAGCCCTAATACAACGAATTAGTGTTTATCAAGTTACTTTTGTTAGTTTATTATGGACTCCATACGTACCCATCCTGCATGGAAGTGACAAAGGTTTCAATGTCACATTCTGAGTTTGGGTACTGGCCCCAGGCAGGTTCAAGTACTCATCTAGTTGTGCTTGCGGGGAGCTTCGGCTCTTTGACCCCGCCTCTCAACTGTCAATCTACTGGTGTACAGATTCCTGAGCCTATTGGGCTCTATCATATCTACATTTGAAACTGTGTATGGAGTCAGTCCCCACCACATGACTGCCTAATGCATTCCATTTGTTAACTACTCTGACATTGAAAAAATTCTTTCTAATGTCTCTGTGGCTCATTTGAGTGCTCAGTTTCCACCTGTGTTCCCTTGTTCGTGTTCCACCCGTGCTAAATAATTTGTCTTTGTCCACCCTGTCAATTCCCCTGAGAATTTTGTAGGTGATGATCATGTCTCCCCTGACGTGAGGTTTAGCTCCCGTAGCCTTTCCTCGTAACTCATACCTCTCAATTTTGGAACTAGTCTGGTGGACCCTGACCAGTGCTATTTAAACTAAGCAGTTTAATTACATTTTGAGGACCACTCCTGTGCCAGGTAAGTACACTACTGGCTCGCCATAGCCCGTGCTACTTGCCCTGCTCCTGTGCCAGGTAAATTACGGGCTCACCATAGCCCGTGCTACTTGGAACTTGTTCCGAGTAGCTGAATCTTTAACAACAACAACACTTACAAGATCTTAGTGTGACATTACAGAGTTTAAAATGGGTTCCTGCTCGACATGGGTGCTATCCCAGAACTCGACAGCCTATCAAATAAAATATGGTCTCCATGGCGCAGTGGTAAACACTCGCGCGGCGCTTCCGGAGCACTTTGGCCTGGGTTCGTATCCTGGCCGGGAAGAATTGACTGGGCGCCAATCCTTAACTGTAGCCTCTGTTCACCCAGCAGTGAATGGGTTGTTAAACGATTTAGCGGGTCGTATTGCGGGGAAAAATTGGATTAAGGACCTGCCCGCAACGCTATGCGTGCTAGTGGCTGTACAAGAATGTAAGAACTCTTGTATATATCTTAATGTGCTCCTTTTATGTACCTGATAAATTGTGCATAATAACAATAAAGACAATATGACGATGATGATAGAATATAACTTTTTTTTACTATTTGTATTGATTATTTGTACCTGCAGGATCGAGTAATTCGTTATCGGACCTTCCTTTCTAACTGCTGGTTATCTAATGTATTAATTAATTCCAGACCTATTTTCCTCAACCATATCTACTATCTCTCTCTCTCTCTCTCAAGTGGTTGGGCACCATTCCTTCCGCCCGTCCTATCCCAAATCCTTATCCTAACCCCCCTTCCCAGTGCTATATAGTCTTAATGGCTTGGCGCTTTCCCCTTGATAACTCCCCCCTCCCCTCTCTCTCTCTCTTTCAAACACACACACACACAATCGGGGAGCCTCACGGCTGAGGGGATAGCGTTCAGGAGTCGTAGTCCTAATGGTGCGGGTTCGATTCCCGGCGGAGGCGGAAACAAAGGGGCAAAGTTTCTTTCACCCTGATTTTCCTGTTCACCTACCAGTAAATAGGTACCTGGGAGTTAGACAGCTGCTACGAGCTGCGTCCTAAAGATGTATGTGTTTTAACGAGAAATATATGTAGTAGATATAACAGGAAAAATAAATTGGTTAGAAAGGCGGGGTCCAAGAGCTAATAGCTCGATTCTGCAGGCATAAATAGTAAATACACAGTCAGAGTAGTTATAACAGGTGGAATGCATTAGGCAGAGATGTGGTGGAGGCTGACTCCATACACAGTTTCAAATGTAGATATGATAGAGCCCAGTAGGCTCAGGAACCTGTACACCAGTTGATTGACAGTTGAGAGGCGGGACCAAAGAGCCGAAGCCTAGCCTGGTAATCAACCAACCTAGCTCAACCTTGACCGGGGGTAACGGTCAACCCCCGCAAGCACAACTAGGTGAGTACTCACACATACTCCCAGGATGCGGCCCGTAACAGCTCTCTAACTCCCAGGTATACTCATTTACTTATAGGTGAGCAGGAGCATCAGGGTGAAAGAAACTCTGCCCATTTGTTACCGCTTCGCCCGGACCCGATTCCCGAGCGCTGTCCACTCAGCCACGAGGCCCGGTATATGTGTGTATTCACCTAGTTGCGCTTGCGGGGGTTGAGCTCTGCTCTTTCGGCCCGCCTCTCAACTGTCAATCAACTGTTTCTACTACTACTACTTCCCCCTCCCCCCACTCACACACACACACACACACACACACACACACCAGGAAGCAGCCCGTGCTGTAACTCCCAGGTACCTATTTACTGCTAGGTAACAGGGGCATAGGGTGAAAGAAACTCTGCCCATCGTTTCTCCCCGGCGCCCGGGATCGAACCCGGGACCACAGGATCACGTGTCCAGCGTGCTGTCTGCTTGCTGTGGGGGAGCCGGTGTGTGTGTGTGTGTGTTTACTAGTTGTGTTTACTAGTTGTGTTTTTGCGGGGGTTGAGCTTTGCTCTTTCGGCCCGCCTCTCAACTGTCAATCAACTGTTTACTAACTACTATTTTTTTTTTCCCACACCACACACACACACACCCCAGGAAGCAGCCCGTGACAGCTGACTAACTCCCAGGTACCTATTTACTGCTAGGTAACAGGGGCACTTAGGGTGAAAGAAACTTTGCCCATTTGTTTCTGCCTCGTGCGGGAATCGAACCCGCGCCACAGAATTACGAGTCCTACGCGCTATCCACCAGGCTACGAGGCCCCCTATAATGTGTGTGTGTGTGTGTGTGTGTGCGTGCGTATATACTTAGTTCAGGGATCAACAGTATATAAAGATTTTTCCCGTTTCAATTACGTAAGTGATGCATATTACAAATCATTACTGTATTTCTACCATTAACATATTTATTTTCACCAGCGATCTTCCTTTGTTCATGTTTAGTGATATCGAAGGAAAAAAAAAACAGATTGAGGGTGATGTGCTGTTCCTTCCAGGGGAAACTAATGTGTGAGTGTGGCAGTAGGTGGTGTGGCAGCAAGTGGTGTGGTAGTAGGTGGTGTGGCAGTAGGTGGTGTGGCAGTAGGTGGTGTGGCAGCAAGTGGTGTGGCAGTAGGTGGTGTGGCAGTAGATGGTGTGGCAGCAAGTGGTGTGGCAGCAAGTGGTGTGGCAGTAGGTGGTGTGGCAGTCGCCACTATGACGTCACTGCCCACTTACCGCGCAGTTACGCACAATCTGACGCTTCCCTCCCATAATCTACTAAAAATGTGTCTCTTTTCAGGCATTTTTACCTCTACTATATTTATAAATGTTCAAATAATTTGTGTAAATAGTTTTTAAGAAGAAAATAACTGATACAAATAATTAAAATGCAGTAATATGTGATTGACTATAGGCTATGACCTAATTCATTACCCACCACCAAGACAAGTCTGCTCTAGCACAATTGGTTCTATTACGCAAAGTATAACACCAAAGTATAACTGATATAACACCAAAGTATAACTGATTCTTCTCAGTGTATCGAGAGGTATCGTTACCCCTCTCCTCAGCGTATATACATCGAATGTTTCAGCAGTGAAGTCGAGTTGATCAACAAGTTATGGTGGGCGAACTTAACCAACCATTTTAAGCATAACAACAAACATTATTTTCTCTTGACAATATATAATCCTGTACGAAATAAGCAGGCAAACCAGGCAAACACACGAGCACAACACTGACATGCGAGCTTGCAGGCAATTTGCCTTTAACACCTAAATGGAAACACTTAGTGCCTTTATCAGAGTGATGGATAAGCCACCTAGGAAACTGCACAGACACAAAACGCATTCAGTAGTTTGGTGTCATATGAAGGCACAGCCTCAGGGTTTATTGAACTATGCAATGCTAACAATAGCCTCACTTTAATTGGCAACTAGTTTAGACAAACTGCTGTATCATTTAATTAAGGATGACCCGTTATAACTATAGTTAAACATGACGTATACATCATTGCCGTACGCGTAGACTTCCCCCCCCCCAATGTGTAGGTGGCTCTCAGCTGACCAATAGGCTTTCTTTATTATTATTATTATCCAGGCGACAAGGGGTTGTGTATATACACTGTACATCGAGAGATATCGTATCCTCACTACATGTACACCGCTATACTGGTGTAGGAAGGGTTAAAACTTTTTTTTTTTAACTTTAAGAAGTGGCATAACACACTTTAAGGTATGGGATAAAAGGGGTTATACCACCCCGTTTATGCTATCCCTTAAAGTTTAGCAAAGCAAATTAAATAGTTACGCATTACATAGGAAAATGGAAAGGGCCATTGGAACATGGAAAGGGACATAGGAAAATGGAAAAAGGGACATAGGAAAATTTTAAAGTTTAACTACAGGAACACTCCTCTCATAGTTCATGTGAGACACTTGCATCACAGCTCTCAGGAGTTCCCCTAAAGGGGAGCTTGTCTCACAAGCGCTAGAGTGCCAAGGGTCTCGGTAGTACAGTTGAGATCCTTCTCGGCTCACAACCGGGAATCCTCGGTTCGAATCCTGAATGGGATGGTTGGGCACGATTGCTTTCATCTAATGCCTATGTTCACCTAGCAGTAAATAGGTACTCATGTTGATGACCAAACCACAATTCAGAAGGTGGAGAAGCAACGACGTTTCGGTCCGTCCTCGACCATTATCAACGGACCGAAACGTCGTTGCTTCTCCACCTTCTGAGTTGCAGATAGATCATTTCTTCAGTCACGTTATTGTCACTCGTCGTCCCCAGGTACCCATGAGTTAGGGTATTTGTGTGTACGTCTGATACCATACTACTTGTGAAGGAGGAAATGTATATGTTTACCTCTCAGAATGTTTGGTAATATGTTTATTGTTTGTGATGTGTGTCTATGTATATATTAACACGTTGTACTGAACGGGGTGAGAATAGCTTGAGCTACCTCATCCCTTGGTGTGTATTTTACCTCAATAAACTTATTTCAATTTCAATTTCAATGAGTTAGGCTACTGTGGTGTTGCGTCCCGGGGAAGGTCGGTAATTTCGTCCTTGGGGGGACCTCAATACAGACCTATATGTACGTAGGGATGCGAACCTACACTCAGAGTACGTAGGTCAGTCAATGGCAGCTGCCAATGGTAACGCAGGTCTATTGTCATCGTAAACATAAACCATACAATAAACGCCTCATGTAACTTCCAATTAAAAAATACTTTTCGTAAAGTAATTAATTATTTAATTCTCTTTCATGAGACCCCTTGAGAAGTTTCTTTTTTTTACGACAAGAGGAACTCTCACTTAATAACCAAACTAACCTAACCTGACCTAGGCTAACCTAACCTAATCTAGCCTAGCCTAACCTAACCTAGCATAACCTAACCTAGCCTAACCTAATCTAGCCTAACCTAACTTAACCTAACCTAGCGGGGGGTAGAAATAGCCTAAGCTACTCTATCCCTTTGAGATGTATTTATTGCTTATCTCAATAAACATACTTGAACTTGAACCTAACCTAACCTAGTCTAACCTAACCTTATAATGTGCATTGGACTTACACCCATTCTCTAACACTCCTCAGGTATAACAAGCCTATAAGCATGCAAGAATTAGATGTCCGCGAGCCCCTCTTCCCTAGAACCTCCCTGACCACCAGGACCTCATCCCTCCATCCTTCCCGGAAAGATATTTTTCTTAACTTGTCAACCAACAGGCTGTCGTTACCACTCAAGGACCCACGTTAAACAACTTATATTGTATACCTGCATTCTCTTTCTTCTGTACTGACGTCATTGTGGCATAACGAGAAAGCAGACGGGGAGTTTCCCTATCGCCGGCCGGCTTATAAGTAGTTAAGGCTGGCTCTGCCCGCCACCTCACACTTCTGGAGGCTGTTTACCTGAGAGAGGAGAAAACCCGCTCGTCTCTCTCACCTCACCCCGCTCCTGTCCCAGTAAGTCCACAACGGGCTCACCATAGCCCGTCCTACTTGCCCCGCTCCTGTGCCAGGTAAGTCCACTACGGGCTCACCATAGCCCGTGCTACTTGCCCCGCTCCTGTGCCAGGTAAGTCCACTACGGGCTCACCATAGCCCGTGTTACTTGCCCCGCTCCTGTGCCAGGTAAGTCCACTACGGGCTCACCATAGCCCGTGCTACTTGCCCAGCTCCTGTGCCAGGTAAGTCCACAACGGGCTCACCATAGCCCGTGTTACTTGCCCCGCTCCTGTGCCAGGTAAGTCCACTACGGGCTCACCATAGCCCGTGCTACTTGCCCCGCTCCTGTGCCAGGTAAGTCCACTACGGGCTCACCATAGCCCGTGTTACTTGCCCCGCTCCTGTGCCAGGTAAGTCCACTACGGGCTCACCATAGCCCGTCCTACTTGCCCCGCTCCTGTGCCAGGTAAGTTACGGGCTCACCATAGCCCGTGCTACTTGGAACTTGTTCCGAGTAGCTGAATCTATAACAACAAAATCTCACCTCAGGACGCCTCATCCAGTTCGTTCCTACTATATATCATTTGTTATTTCTGATTCTGATTTATTACTTCTGATTCGCTGCTCTGTTAAGACTGATTAATTTAATAGTCACAAACTAAAAGAGAATAATAACGCTGCAGAAGACATTTATTTTAATGGCTCAAAGACAATAGCTAAAATTCAGGAAAAAAAAAGAGTTAATGACATAATCTTCCTTATAAATACACCTCCGCTAATGGCGTCATTCCCATTGTAACCAAAATACTCCCTTAATGATTTGTATATTCCTTACGTGGAAGATTACACATGATCCCAGCATTCATTACTCGTCCGTTCTTCCATAAGACCAACAGCGTGTTTTGAATGTCATGAAGATTATCACCTATACACAGTATGCAACTTTTAACACCATGTTTAGCACGCTAGATAATGAAGAACAACAGTCTTAAGTCCCAGTTTCCGTTCAGTATGGGTTCACAACATGGAAGAGTTGACAACATGGAAGGGTTCACAACATGGAAGGGTTCACAACATGGGCTGAGTTTGAATTCGTTAATGTTACAATTTACCAGATTGAGGGATTCATCTGAGTATGGCCGACATGATAGGCTAATAGCCTATCATGTCGGCCATACGAATGCGTTCTGGTGCAGAAGATGATCTACTGCTAATTGCAGCCATCAGAAGGTACGTGGAACCCATGCTTGGTAATGTATAGAATGTGAAAAGCTTAACTCCAGCCTTAACCAGCCTAGCAAGTTTGTGTTCCTTGTCCTTCTCTCAGTTGGCAGCCGAGGATGACCAAACGACTTGGAATTTCAGCCATGTTTTTGTATTTTTTAGAACAATTCAAAAAAACTTTGTGAAACTGCCTCTCTCCCCCAATGTGTGTCTCTGTCCTCGTGTGTCTCCTGCACTCCTGTGGCCTTGTGTACTCTGTGACACGCTCCTGTGGTCTCGTGTACTCTATGACACGCTCCTGTGGTCTCGTGTACTCTGTGACACGCTCCTGTGATCTCGTGTTCTCTGTGACACGCTCCTGTGGTCTCGTGTACTCTGTGACACGCTCCTGCGGTCTGTGCTAGTTGCTGTGAGCATAATTTGGAAAAGGCGTATTTTGTCGTAAGTTCAGTAGCAGAGACTAGCCAGACAAACAATGTGTGTGTGTGTTAGTGACTTTATAAGAATTTAATTTACACGCCAACATTTTTATACGACCTATTGTTACTTTTTTTTAAAGTGTTTCAAATAAATACATGAATATAAATGAAGGTACATTCTGGTAGGGATGACGTCACATTGTTTACATTTGATCCTGGTAAGGATGACGTCACATTGTTTACATTTGATCCTGTAAGGATGACGTCACATTGTTTACATTGAACCTGTGCCAAAATATTCCTCCTGCAAATTACGTTCACAGCTATTAAGAATTCTGTACCTCATGATATTATTGAATGTAAATTTGTTAATTAAAGAGTATAGGGACTATGTCTCTAAACACGTTCGCTCTCACGGCCGTCTTTGGGAGAGGTTGGAAGCCAGCTATTGTCTACATGACAAAATTTGTTGAGAAAATCCATAGGGGCCGTTATGAGGATTCGAATCTATGCGGTGGGTAGTCCCACGCATACGCCCCAGACAACCAGGTCACGACATGGTCAAAAGGATTGCAACCAGCAGTTCTACTGAACACACGAGGGTTTCCTGAGGCTTCCACTGAAACTGGACCACGATTTTCACACAATCCCCCCATGCACTCTGGCTGTCATCTAGGAATGTTCTACCTCTTCTATTTAAATAAATACTGTAAATAAATAAATAAACTTGATTTCCCGTGACCAGTGCCATCACCAAGGTCTCTGTTGTACACATGTCAGTCCATCATCCAGGAAGTATAGTACCTATAGCAACTATTTGGTCAAACGTACAAAATGACCAAGCATAAAGTTCGCGTTTTGTACACTTGTCTTCCTTAGGAACCGTCTACAGCCCGGGAACGTAACCGAGCGGCCGGCCTGGAGCCCTACTCTCACACTGTCACCACAACCGCCCCACCTGGAGCTGACGGTATCATCTCTGTTACCTGTGCTCGCTTCTGGAGGAAGTCAATCATCGCCCAGCTTAGTCACCCTGTTGCGTCATCCAGTCACGTGTGCGCCTGGCCGGGCGCCCGCTCCTGCAGGAGGCGTTGTTGGTGTCGGCTGGGCGACGCCCTTGACGGTATACATGGGGGGCTTCCCATAATGGTGTATTAATTAGTTTTCATGACGTGTTGCAGTTTGGATGTATTCTACCACACACATTTCCACCGTGACAAATAAGTATTCATTTTGTCTTGTTCCCGCCAAAATATTGGCATGGTGGTTATTTTTACGTGACTTGTAAATTAGTTTTACAATTAAAAGTACATAATTTTTGTTTACGACCGTTAATCCCACATTCTCACACCTGGTGTAATGTATGACCTGGAGGAGGCGGGTGTCCCCACACCCTCACACCTGGTGTAATACATGGCCAACACTCATCACCCGTGGAAAACCCCACTGATGCAACTTTGCTTCGCGGCCACCTTCCACGTCCTGCAGGGACCTGTCGAGGAAGGGGTTCCAGCACACCTCCTCCCCCTCCATGTACTCACCTACTTGTGCGTTGGGTTGAGCTCTGCTCTTTCGGCTCGCCTCTCAACTGTCAATCAATCAACTGCTACTAACTACTAACAATTTTTCACACACACACACACACACACACACACACACACACACACACACACACACACACACACACACACACACACACACACACACACACACACACACACACACACACACACACACACACACACACACACACACACACACACACACACACACACACACACACCAGGAAGCAGCCCGTAACAGCTGTCTAACTCCCAGGTACCTATTTACTGCTAGGTAACAGGGGCATCAGGGGTGAAAGAAACTCTGCCCATTTGTCTCTGCCGGCACCGGGAATCGAACCCAGGCCACAGGCTTACGAGTCCCGTGCGCTGTCCATCAGCTATTAGACCCCCTCCATGTAGTGGAGGTGATGGAACCTATGACCCCCCCCCCTCCATGTGGTGGGTTTGGAGTCTTTGGAGTCCACTTAATGGCAACGTATAACAAGGACGGCAAATATAAGAGTCACTGCATCATACAAACAGTGTCTCACTAACCGCATTCGAGTCCCCGAAAAAACTTTCATGACCTCGAGACTAAACATATAAAAGCCTTTGTATTCCCTAGTCAACACACATGTATACAGGTTGCTGGTATATGACCATTCGATATGAGTTTTTAAGCATTTAAATAGGGCATACAAGTATGCAACAATTTGGAGCGAGCCCCTGCGACGCATATCTCAGTAACGTCATAGAATGGGTCAACTTGCACCACAGTTGAGTAGCTTATTCTCTGTACATCTGTTCCAGAGTAGCCTATTCTCTGCACATCTGTTCCAGAGTAGCCTATTCTCTGTAGATCTGTTCCAGAGTAGCCTATTCTCTGTAGATCTGTTCCAGAGTAGCCTATTCTATGTACATCTGTCCCATTGTAGCCTATTCTCTGTACAGCTGTTCCATTATCGAAAACCAGAATTACAAATGATATAATTGTTGAAGCTTTCTGTTAACATTAAAGATCACTGATAAAGCAACCTGTCCACCAGGTGTTGATATTATGTTGACAACATTAGGGATCGAAGAGCACGTAACCAATTTGTACAGACTGAATACTGTATGCGGGCGTTGTGACCCCAGGCTCGACGCCTTCAAAGCTTAAACATCTGTCAAGACAAATGTCACTCACTTAATAATATTAATAACCGCAAAACATAAAATAAAAGTTACAGGAATCGATACACGCACACACTTTAGTGTTCATCAGGAAACAGAGCGACAGATCAGTGTCTGGCACTATATGGCTTAATTCATTCCCATTTCTGGTCTGAAACTTAAGTGCCGTCGCTAATTCCCACTTCATAAACACGCGTATGAAATGGGTTTATGACGTTGTAGAGACGCTATGTTCTGCTATTTAATATTTAATTCACCTTAATGGTATCCAGATATCGAGCAATCACCGCCAAAAATCTAGGTCGGGGCCGCTTTCACTCTGAATAAAGTCTGTGATGACTGACGTCATAAATATATGATATAAATCAATCACTTCACACGGGACTGACACACTTCACACTACTGACCACCAGGCACACTGGAGACCCTACATCTACCCGGAAGAGGAGTAGCCAGTGTGACCTGGGTATATGCACGCTCCTTCTGGGAGCACTGACTCACCTCTCACCTCTCACCATCACAGAATTACAACCTTTGCCCGGTTCTGTGCACTCACAACACCTTCTCTGACGAGATCACAACCTAACGACACTCTGGAGATGACTACGTCTTGCTGCTTTGGCTGTATATCGTCGGGGAAGTCCATGCGGCTGGGACTGCTGAAGGGGGAATTCCCTGTCAGAATAATAGTCACGCCACAGCGGCTCGCTGCGCTCCGCGACCGCCAGGCGCGTCAAGCGTTTCTCAAATTCTGCACGTCCCGTATAATCTACTTGTTCTTATTTTTGTTCGATACAAGACATTTCTAAATTGTAATGTATAATCTGTTTGGCAGAGAGCGAGGAGAACTGAATCGCTTGGCGGTGTTGGAGGCTAGCAAGGAGAGAGTTAGGGCAGACAGCGAGTGAAACTTTCACTTGATCCTAGGCTCATCCCCCGTCTCTCTCGTCCTCTGACAAGGGAGTCGAGTCCCCCTTGGTTATGCAATATGTTACCCAACTTGCAGGAAATGTATTATACGATATAACTTTATGCAAGCACCTTTTGTGATCCGTGAAGGTGACCTGACAAGGATGCCTTTCTCACGGTTACTCAGTGACCTGTGGCCTTTGACCTGACCGACAAATTGTCAGCGATTGTGCTGGTATCATTACAAGAAAAGTGGGGTAAAATTACAACTAGTCAGTGATGACCTTGTACCGACAAGTTGTACACAACTAACATTTGATAACTCGACAAATTGTAATAAATTTTAGATCAAGAGCTTCAATAAAATATTATAGATACAAAGTAAAGTTAAATCTACAATTCCAATGAATCTATCGTTACAAAACCATTCATGGAGAGCCTCATATATATATATAAATGACTAAAATTAAATCATCAGGCTCCTGGATGTTACTCCTGCTTGGGTTATAAGTATCTCTGGAGTTTATTTAACCAAACTATTCGGTCAATATTCCCCCAAGACCGACCAATGGTCATTCCGGAGTGCGCCAACAGCGCCCCAAGAATGCGTGCGCGTGGTTACATCAGTGCGCTCAAACGTCCGAGTCACGGAGATAATATAACGCTACAAAGAACAATTGTTTATGCCTTACGCTGGTGGCGTAAGGTAAATATCAGGAGAGATTATTATCACTAAGCCAGCGTGACCATATATCACTGGGGAGAAATATGAGGACAAGAAGCTGTGATTGGACGGAGGAAAGGAACGGGGCAGAGGTTGGACAATTTTTTAATTCATCAGGGAGTGAGTTCCAAAGACTGGGCCCCTTTAATTTGCATGGAATGTTTACACAGATTTAGCCTGACTCTGGGGATATCAAATAAATATTTATTTCTGGTGTGGTACTCATGGGTTCTATTACGCCTATCAAGGAAAAGTTTCAGATCAAGATTAGCATTTAGGAACAAGGGTTTTGTACATACAGATAGCACACGAGAATGTGTAGAGTGAGTATATGTTTAGCATGTTGAGGGACTTGAACAGAGGGGCTGTGAGTTAGGTTCTTTTAATTGCCTTATAAAATTTAACGAATAAAAAGGTTTTCGTGCCTTAACATCTTTATATTATGATAATCACGACATATCTGCATTAAAATCAGTGTGCAATTCCGGTTTTGGCCTCCACCGCCTTCTCACTTGTTCCCTTGTAACTTGTAACTCACTTGTAACACTTATATGCTGTGCTTCCTATTTTAACCTGCTATGTTAAATGGGATTCTTGTATTGTGATTTGTGTATTTGTATTCACTGAATTTGTGCGCCCCTTGAGGGACTTGAAGTAGAGGGGGAAGGGGGGGGGGTAGAAATAGCCTAAGCTACTCTATCCCTTTGAGATGTATTTTTTTATTGTCTCAATAAACATACTTGAACTTGAAGTGGACTTTAATATTTTTTCGGGAGCTTTATTTCCTTAGTTTCCGAGCTGTTTTCTTTACCGTGTATGTTGTAATAAACTATTCCTATATTTACAGTTGTTTCTCCCTGTGAAGATTATTAAACAATGGTGATTATAAGGGCGCGGAAGTTCAGCCTGGCCAGGGCCGCCAGCAGCCCTTGGGCCCGCCCCGGCAGCTCCCAGTCTTTAATTTGGCACCTTTGTGGCACCTTGGTATAAGCCTAACATGTATATATACACTGGCTGCCTGTCCCCCTACACAATGATTTATTATTACCTATTATTTTATCATTTAATTTAAATATTAAATAAAATAATTTATTTAATTATTATAGTAAGTACTTAATAATTTAATAATAAGTAGTAAGTACATAAAAATGATTAAAAAGTACAGTTTAGTCATAGGAGATTCCTAGATTGGAATTCACTACCAAATTTCAATATATCCAAGTATTTTTAGTGTGAAATGCTGTTATTATATGCATAAATTGTTGTTTTAATAATATTACGCTTAACCACTTGGGCTGGACGGTAGAGCGACGGTCTCGTTTCCTACAGGTCCGCGTTCAATCCCCGACCGCCCAAGAGGTTGGGCACCATTCCTTTCCCCCGTTCCATCCCAAATCCGTATCCTGATCCCTTCCGAGTGCTATATAGTCGTAATGGCTTGGCGCTTTCACTTGATAGTTCCCCCACCCCCCTGAATAATATTACGAGAGCAGTATTTACGGGCTATTCATGCCCGTGCCACCTCTTGGGTGGCTTAATCTTCATCAATCGAGAGCAGTACGTCCTAACCAGACGTAATATGATGATATCCTCAACAGTTGATAAATAAAAGTAATTGCGGAACTCCAGTTATCTAATACTTATCATAAATGGTATAAAACCTTATCATAAGCCAAGGGATTTGTGGATCAGTGTTTAAAGGGAATTCGGAAGTAATAATAACACAGCTGATGCCATCTGTCGGCAGAAGAGAACACTATCAACTGGCTGGTCAACAGTAGCCATAAGATACAGCTTACGCCATCTGTTGACATCAAATTACACTTATAACAAATTACCCCACGAAATACCACTAACGCCATCTAGTTTTTTTCCAAAGCAACCCATTAGGCGGGTTGTTGTGCTCGGGTAGGAGGTTCCAAGCTCCGCCCACAAGTGGTATGGGGTGCATAATAAATGGCATATAATTGG